AACTTTCAAATTTTTCCGTTCCAAAGAGGCAAGGAGGCCCAAATCTTTTGATTGTGTCACATAAATGGATTAACATATGAAACTTTGGTTTATTGCACCACTGACCCGACAGTTGTACAATTGACTTCAGAAAAATGCGGATCAAAGTCCTGAGCTCCTTGCAATAGGTCTTGACGTCATTGATTTCAGTTTGAAATATGTAAGGGCAAAGATGTGAAAGTACTGTCCAAGTTTCACGTTCTTTGTTTGACATTTTGCACTCCAAGAAAATGAATGGAGCTGCTTGTAAAACAGTCCGGAATTCCTTCCCGTTGAGACTGAGGAAGTGTTGAATCATTGTCCTTGGCTGGATTTCAGGGATGTTCAAACCGGAAGTGTTGAACGACTTCCAACGGCCCCATACGTTGTTTTTCGCCTTTTCCAATAATGAATTCATCTGGTGTCGTAATAAATACTTGGCAACACCTAATAGAATTACATGTAATACCTCCACCGGCACCGCCAACATAGATGCCTCGGATTGAAAAATCCAAGGCATCATCGGATGGAAACCCTCGGACAGGTCTTGTCCAAGGATTTGATCCGAGGTATTTTTTGACGCAAAATAATACCTCAGATCAAAACCTCGGAAAGATTTTGTCCGAGGATTTGAGTCCGATGATACCTCGGATTTTTCAATCCGAGGCATCTTTGTTGGCTGTGCGGGGTATCTTGGTGCCCATTGAAGCCTTTCCAAGATGATATCAGAATTAATATGTTGCCAACTCATCAAAAATAACCAACCAGACTGAACTTTCAAGCGTAGAAAAGGGTTGAATAGACAATCTCCAAACAGGTCATCAAGCTCACGACAAAAAGCAGATGTTTGCGTGCTGGTTACTGACGAATCCCGGTGGAGGTCTTGAACCATCTTAACAAATGTGCTGTTAAGCGCGTCCTTAACGCCAAACCCAGATGATTTTGTTTCAAATAATCCAATGGTTCCTAGTTGTTGGGACAACTTCCAAAGCGCCTTTGTCCCTTCAATGGTTTCGGACCACTTGTGGGTAGGTAATGACACCTACACATTCAAACACAGCCTTGTTAACTCTTGAGACGGGTTTTTACTCCCTCAATCTACATAAGGTAGTGCTGACCTCATTTCCATCCTCGTCAACACCAAGGAAGTCGCACACGTACTTAGATGAACGTTTTGCCATCAGAGTGTTGACTTTCAGGTGACAGATTTGGCATGGTGATAGCAACATTGTCGGATTCATTGTGTTTGCGACCTCCGCGTGCATCGGCAAATCACCTAGATGGCACAGGACCGTTGTCATAACCAGGACTTCCGTCTGGGTCATGTGGTTGTAGGCCGCAAAACCTTCTGTCATAATGTTGCTGGTTTCTCATATCAGACACCTTTGATATGACATTCAATATATACATAAGGTAGATACCTTACTTCAAATCATTGATCAAAGGACCTGCTAATTCCAACGCTCCTGCGGTGTTCGAAGTTGTCACAAAGTGGCAGTTATATTCTTGATTCAACAGCTTTGGAGGAAGCCCACCTAGTGTGAAATGAAACGCTATGTGCTTATTCCATCTTTTTGACTTGTTGCCTGATAAGTCTTTGCAGTATAATACCAAAGGCACATGCCGAATAATTCGACTGTTGGCTTTTGTTCGCCATGGATTGATTGTTGGCATTGCAGCTGAGCTACCTCCATCTTTTTCTGATTCCGCCAACATCAAATCAAACATCAATGAAATTGAATTATTGACATGTTTTTCAAGATTTCCGGTCTGTTTATATTTGAACTCACCATACATCCGTCCCCCACAAAGGTCTTTCATGAGTTGTCCATCACGCATTTTTACTTTGTCAAATTGCCTCCAGAATGATTTGATGTTGATTGTTGTAAACAACTCAGAGTCAAACTTTGAAACATGTTGGAATTCAATTTGTAAAAATGGATTTTCCCACTTCAGATGAGCAAATACACATTTTGCAAATACATTGTTGCCAGATTTGTAGAAATACATAGGAATCACAATTCTATGAGATAACAATTGAACAGGTTTGTATAGATAGAAATGACCGGCTTCTTGGTCAACCATTTGAACGCGGATATCGGGGTCAAGACCCTCTCGCCACTTCTGCGACTGGGCAAGGCAAGTGACCTTTGTGCCTTCACACTACACCAAATGTCATCTTTACCAGGCAGTAAAGAAAACTACTGACATAGAAAAGTCCTGAGGGAACAGGAAGAGAGCTAAAAATCTGGAAAAATATGCGCCTTGTTCCTAGATGTTGGAGCGTCATGATGAGTATTTTTTTGTATTTTACACGCAGATATTGGTTTATGTACTAACAATAAACGCTGACAATCAACAAAAACTCACATGTAACAATACCTGAAATTTGGGTCATGAGTATGAAGACAATATTTTGTGGTCTAAAAACTTCAATAACTTTTGCAATTCTGCTCCAAAAAACTCGATTTTTGGTTCATTCAAAAGCTGAACTATTCTCCTTCACACTTCATAATGTTAGTAAGGTGCTATCTAGTCATTTAAACACTCTACATATGTTCACACTACACCAAATCACTAATATACCGTGGAGTTTAGAAAATTGCAAATGTAGAAAATTCTCAGCAATGCATGAGAGATCAGAAAAAATTGAAAAAATTATGGTTGAATACGCCTGTTCTGACCTATGATTTTGCATATTTTTTCATATTTTTACCATCAGTTCTGATGATATTCCAAAGAAAAATGCTTATGGTGTTTATCTGGTCAGAAACTCAATTTTGGTCCAAAACTACTAAGGTTTGGGCAGAAACTGTGAACACTCAAAAGTACACCAACTTTTGCTCAATTCATTTGGTACTTACAAATTATGAAAGCCACATACTAGATCTACAACTTCCATTGAGATACTAAAGCCATTTCAACAAAGATTTACAAGATTTGCTGGCTTTGCTGATGGTGACCGTGATTGCTGTACCTCACACATTTTTGAAGAAACAGCTGATTCCAACATGTACAGTGTAAATCAAAGATGTAGAATTCACAATGTGAAGACATTTCAAATTTTGAAGCAAAATTGACAACTTTATTGGTCTCACAAGGTTGATGCCTCAATAACTGCCAGTTTTGGACAAAAACTGGGTTTCTGACCTGACATCGACTTCTACTGTAAAAATCTGAAAAAATATGCAAGATGATGGGAACACACAGGCGGACACAACCCTTATTTTTTCATATTTTTCTGACCCCTTCCGCCTTGTGTACAATTTTCTATGTTCTCTCAATTTTCTAAACTCCACGGTAAATTTGCAATCTGGCGTAGTGTCAAACAGTTCTGCATGAATAGCTCTGTAGGATCTTTTTTAGACCAGCTACAGATGTGATGTCTGAATGAAAAATGTAGAGGAAAGGCTCGCCTTTTTAATGTACTTCAAATCGAGTGATTTTATTCAGAAATGCAAAAGTTATTGATGTTTGAAGATTCCAAAATCCTGTCTTCAAAGTCAAGGGCCAAATTTCAGGTATTGTTACAGGTGGGTTTTTGATGATTCTCAGCCTTTATTGTTAGTACATTAACCAATATCTGTGTGTAAAATACAAAAAAATACTCGTCATGACGCCCCAACATCTAGGAACAAGGTGCATATTTTTTCAGATTTTTAGCTCTCTTCCTGTTGCCTCAGGACTTTTCTATGTCAGTAGTTTTCTTTACCGCCCGGTAAAGATGACATTTTGTGTAGTGTCAGTGGGTAATGACGGCATAAATTCGAGGAACTCTGCTACATAAGGATTCACAACTTCCTGAATCAACAGATGATCAATTGAATCAGCCTCCTTATTGGAAGTGCTACGGCATGATGTGGTGGTGCAATTACTTGCCTGCTTAAGTATATCCTTGATTTTCAAACCAAAGCATGGTTTGTCTAAATAACTGATGCTTTCTACCACCCCAAAATCAAATCTTTTCTTCAGTCGGCGGCGGACTTTCTGGACAGTCTTGTAGGCGGGTAGTGTCACACCAAGTATTCCAAAGAATGAGCGCATCCGCTTGTATTGTAACAAGGATAAAATGGTACGTGATGTACCCAGCACCATGAAACCAACCATTTGCTGGAATAAAGTTACAGTCAGAATACATACTCCTTCATCTATGGCAAAATTAGAACCTGCCTCTAGACTCGAAAAAGGATACCAGGAATCGTCTTGCTCGTCCATATGCTCCGCACAGTCTGTCGTATCCTGAGAGTTAACTGACTCATTTACGTCAGATCCAGATTCGTTGCCAAGGTTGGTTGGATTTCCAATTGGATCATCTTGGCTACCGTGGACGCTAACAGCTGGAGATTTAAAATCCATTGAATAGTCCTTAGTCCAAAGATCAATGAGCTTTTCTCAAACAAAACCTGTTCCTGATTGCTCCTGATTGCAATCATTAATGTCAGTATCCTCGACATGCACCTGATCGACTGGACTTGCTGGGTCAGAATGGAGATGAGACTGTTTGTGGTCAATGAAAGAATTTGCCCTTTGAACGGTCTCTTGTTTGGCCACCCAGATTTTCAAATTTTTCAGGTGCGTTGGAGTTTTCTTATGCCGACGGATTTGGCTGCTCTGCATGGAACGGCTTCCAGAACAGGCCGTGCAAACAAATGATATTGAATCTGTATTGCACCCCACTTCCACAATACCTTTCATGTTTTGCAAGAATGCAGTAATCAGAACTGGGAAACTTGTGAGTGGTGGAGAAGATATAGTCACATTTGTCCTCATAGTTTCCCCCCATCGAAGCACAGAAAGGCTTAAAAGAAATATATAATCTGTGATGGCGCTTCCTTCAACGAAGGGAAAATGGTGAATAGGGATGCAGAATGGAATAAGATGTTATTATCAATCTTGATTCATTCAAAACTTTTTGTGTTTAACTGAAAAGTCATCCTTGTAATAAAGGGTAACATCAAATGCATTGATCAATTCGATTCGGCATGCCTGCTTCGCTTGAAAGGGTCATTAAGTCTCGGTTGACGTGCGGTCAGTTCCGCGGTTGAGGATGGATTATATAATCGGTGATTCATCAACCATAGCATTTTGGTTGGGCAAAATCACGGTTTTACAGGCGGTTAATCAGATTCCGTTGGCCAACTGCTCGCAGAGTGGTTGACCAACTCTACTTGAAAGATGAGAGAGAGCCTGTCAAAAACCCGGGGTCTACTCAAATCCCCGCTGAATTTGAACCGGGTTCTGGCCGCGAATCTTGAAAAAACAAAATCAGGGTTCGTGGTGTAAGTGGGTGTGATTCTTGTTTACGCGTAAAGACAAGTACACAAAAACCCCTAGGCACTCTAGAACCACTGGCGATACCTTCAGGACCCTGGACAGACATTTCCTACGACTTAATCACCAAACTGCCAGTATCAAACGGGTGCAACAGCATCTTAACGGTAGTAGACAGGTTGATGAAGATGGCTCACTTCATACCTTGTAAAGAGAGTATGAATGCGGAGGACCTAGCAGATCTAATGATGAAATATGTGTGGAAACTCCACGGCACCCCAAAAACTATTGTTTCTGACAGGGGCAGCGTGTTTATATCTCAAATCACAAAAGCCTTAGACGCCAGATTAGGAATCAAATTACATCCCTCTACCGCTTTTCACCCAGGCACCAATGGTCAATCTGAGATTGTGAACAAGGTGGTTGAGCTTTATCTAAGGCATTTTACGAATTATTGTCAGGACAACTGGGAGTCACTACTACCAACAGTTGAATTCATGTACAACAACAATGACCACGAGTCGACAGGATTCTCACCCTTTCAAGCCAATTACAGATACGACCCAATATTCAATGAAGTTCCATCATCCGAACAATGCATAGCTGTCGTGGAAGATAGGTTGAACAAAATTGAGGAAGTACAACACAAACTGACACATTTTTTGCGCTTAACACAGGAGAAGATGAAGCCGGAATTTGACAAATCAGTACAAAGAACCCCTCATTGGAAAGTAGGCGAGCAAGTATGGCTCAACGGGAGAAATATCTCAACAACCAGACCCAGCCCAAAGTTAGAACATAAATGGCTAGGTCCTTTCGACATTCTCAAGAGAGTGTCTAATTCTACGTATAAGCTGAACCTCCCGCTTTCAATGAAAGGAACTCACCCAGTGTTTCATGTTTCAGTCCTTAGAAAGCACAAAACAGATACCATTGACAACCAATCACACCCAGCACCACCGCCTATCAAAGTAGAAGATCAAGCAGAATGGGAAGTTGACTCAATATTCAACTGTAGAAGACAAAGAAACCAAGTCCAATACCTAATCTGCTGGAAAGGATTTGATTTGAGTCACAATTCATGGGAACCGGAAACTAATTTAACAAATAGTAAAGAATTACTTCAAGACTTCAAATTACAATTCCCAGACGCACTAGTATTTAAAGCTCAACAACAGCTTTACAACACCTAAGAAGGGATAATCTACTACGTGTAATATAGTAGAAGTTGTCTAAAGACTGCCTTCTTCAAAGAAACCAGCACAAGGGCACTTGCTGACCACTTTGTGATAACAGAGAAATAGATAAAGCACCAGAGGAAATAAAGCAATACTATGTTTAAGTATTATTCCCAGATTTTAAGCGCAAAAAAAGTCACACAGTATGTTTATTACTAGCAATGCTGTTGTAAGTATTATTCCCAATTAGACTTGTAGTCTTTAAGACACGTAAATAAATTTCTCCTTGCTTTGAAGGGGCGGATTTAAGTGATCTTAGTACAAATATAGTAAATAAATGATGATTTATAACACTACAACAAAGGTATAAGATGCAGAAAAGGGCGCTACAATCCTAAAATCATCAAGGAGTACTTATATCCACATGTAACAATCTTTACAACAGTCAACAGCCTCAAAAAACAATCAAATCCGCCTAAATAACCCTAAAAACCATGTAATGATGCAATGTAATGATCTTGTTACTAATGTATGGTGTAATTTTCACAGCCAAAAGTGATCAATGACGCAATGATGTAATGTACAGCACTTCTTATGATGAATACAGGTGATTTTTTCCTTGTAAACTAGCTGAAACCCAATTTTTGAGATTACGAATTTTTTTAGATGTGCTCCAATTTTTGATTACTAAAGTGCATCTTGTAGCCCACGTGTTACTGATCATTTCTGACACCTATAAGACCTACTTCTGATGAGTGATGAGTAAGATATTTATGGCGTTCAAACATGCGCGAGAAATTTGCAAGTTGCGAGAAAGTTCTGTGCAAGTTCTTTTAAACATCTTGCATAGAACTTCCACAAAACTTGCAGACTTAGGAAAGTTATGTGTGAACCTAGGTTTCCCCGCTTCGAGGACTCAGTTTGCCCTTGATGAGATACATACAGCAGGGGGTTGTGAAAAAATTAATTAAGCAAGATCCGTGCAAGATTTCTTGCACGGATCTTGCACGGATCTTGCACGTTGGTTTTGCAAATTTCTTGCACATGTTTGAACGCCATAATTGAGTTGTGAAGTTAAGGTTTTTGGTGTTACAAGTGACTTGTGACTGTAAATTCAAGATTCATACCAATTTCTTATTTCCCTTATAACTTTTTACATACACCTCCGTTACTAATGATTTAAAGGCTGTACATTATGTAATCCACCCTTCTGCGTTGAATGAGCTATTTACCAACTTATTCTGACGTCATTTGACATATGTAATTAGCTGAAAACCTCCATTTTCGACGATTTTCACCTATTTTCTTCATTTTTCACAGCTGCTACTCTCTTTTTCTTGCTCATGTAATATGACATTATCTTCTATAACCTTAAAAATCCCGGAAAATCCTCTTGGCAACCTTAATTTCTACTACTACCACCATTACATATGTAAACTACACGCATAACCCTTGTTTACCAACTTCAAAAAAGTACCTTTCTGCTAATAACTTCTGTTTCCCCTTATCAACCTTGAATATTAAAATTGTTCCTGTATAATAAACTGTTGTTCTTTCATATTCTAACCTCATAAAACCCATAATTTAATTATAAATAAGCTAAAAACCATTTTCCAACTTTTACACCTATATTTTTGAATTTTTCTTATCTTTTCTTTTTCTGTCTTTTTGTAATAACTTTGTAAGTAAACTATGTTGATCTTAATAATAATTTTGAAATAAGATGACATAATAATGAGCTAATAAGTATACATAAGCCTCTAAGAGCTTCAATTGATCTGAAAACCTGAATTTTGAATTCTCTGCTATATTGAAGTTTGCTAATAAACTGGTAAAGTAAAGATGATTAATTTTTTTGCTTAATATCATAAATAGATCACCACAACGCATTGAGTAAATACAAAAGAAGAAGGAGAAGATGAGAGAGGGCATAGCTTTTTCCCACATGGTTTTTTAATGCTGCCCGGGGAGGATTGCAGAACTTGCAAGAGGAAGTTTGGGCAATAAAAGGGGGATAATGTTACAAATAGGGTCTCCTGTCACTCAAGTGAAAGCTTGTTACACACATGTCACGTTGTACACTCCTCTATACTTGTTGTCCACGTAGCCCGTACTTGTTTTCCTTTCCTCATCCAACAATCTGCATAATAGACACCTGAACCTCACTCCGAGAACCCAAACCCCAGCAGGACAGCCGTAACAAATTGGTGGAGTGTCTATGACGTCATCATTAGATGAGTGGTAAAATAGTTGACAAAGAGTCTGGCCTCTCAGTGACATGTTGTATGTGATAAGCTCAGAATTTCTCTCATGCCATTCCATTAATAGCAAGTTACCAACGTTAAAAACTTATTAGTTGTCAAAGCAAATCAGTCTACAGATGGTAGAATACCCCACAAGGATATTGGTAATGATTAATGCAATTTCAATGAATGATGGCTTTTTAGGACATCTGATAAGATAAATTCAAAAGAACAAAGAGGCCCTTGCTATTTGCAGCCCACACAAAATCCATGTAGGCGCTGCCAAAACAGCCCTTACATGAAGGTTTCCCACAAAAAAGCGCCTACATCATAAATGTAGGTGCTTTTTCCTTTTTCAAATGACACCTACAGGCTGAAAACCCAATGTAGGCATCATTTTTGTATGCCTACATTGTGTAGGCGTCACGAAAATGTGCCTACATATTTTAATACAAACACCCTTATAATTTAATACCAACACCCTTATAATTTGATTCCAAAGCCCTTATAATTAATTATAAGACCCTTATAATTTTATAATCAAATGCGCACTCTTACATTTAATACCCTTATCATTTAAGACCAACACCCTTATAATTGATCTCACCACCCTTATAATTCAATACCAACACCCTTATATATTAATACCAGCACCCTTATAGATTTGTATTCACACGTGTATAAGACCCTTATAACTGACTTAAGCGCCTACATTTTATTTTTAGAATGTAGGTGTACACAAAAGACGCTTACATTGGCTTTTTCAGCCTGTAGGTGTCATTTGAAAAAGGAAAAAGCGCCTACATCATAAATGTAGGCACTTTTTGGCGGAAAACAACCGTGTAGGCGTAATTTGGACAGCGCCTACATGGATTTCATGTGGGCTGCAAATAGCAACAGCCAACAAAGATATACAAAAAGTCTCCAAGAGGGGTGGGCCTTTTTCAAAGATTTCATGGATTGGCAGCATGCAAAAATCAAGGGCAGGATAAGGCAAAAACTCAAACTCAGGTATCATAGCTATCCAACACTTCATGGACTGGAGGATGGTAACATCATCTAGTGGATTTCAAAAATCATTGTATGATTTACATGACTCTGCGAGGGAAAGAGTTGGCGCAAGGTGGGGAAAGGGTGGTTTGACCCTTGACAACTCAGCCAAACAAATAACTTATTTCCTGCCTCCCAATTACTGGACAAAAAATGATTGCTGTTCACAAAGATTTGTTCACTGATTGCATAATGATAATGAAGTTCATTTACATACACTTCCACACCACCCATGTTGTGGTAAAAGATTGCACTAGCATCATTTTCCATTTTTTTTGCGTTGACAAGCGCTACATCCCCAGTTGTAGGCTATACATACTTGGCATCCATCCGGTTCTGTCGTAGGTCCGCCGTGGTCAATGGGTTTGACAACGGACCCATCAGCTATCATCATTGCTTCTTCACTTTTAACTCCATGAAGCATTGAACCAAGAACTTGATCAAATGACATGAATGCCACAGAGATTGCTGCAAAAATGATGAGTTTCATGATGATATCTAATTGGGCAACAAAGTTTCAGATACTGAAAATTGGGAAGAAGATTTGATTGAATAATTCAAGACTCACTGGGATGCTAATGCCACTGAGTTTGAACGATTGTGTATGGGCTGGGTTCAGGTGAAAAGTGATGTATCTAGGTCAATCAAAAGGATAAAGTATGGGACCATGAAGTATAAGCTTGGCTCATGTGTTTAAAGAAACTCTACAATTGTTGGCTGAAAATTGGTTGGAAACATACCCAGGCAAGTGTGCAGGTTAGAAAAACCAGTTGGTGGGACAATTGGATAGGGATCAAATTTTCAGAAAATGAGTCAACCTTTTATATTTGTTGGAGACCCCCTGAGTCACTGAATGTTAGACTCTTCCCAGCCATTGCGTCAACAAGCAAAATGCTGTGTTCCCTTGCATGGAATTCTGAAGGGCTGTATCATGTTGGATTTCAATGTGTGGATATTGTCAAGGTTTGTATTGTGGAGAATATGGTTGCAGGCTTCCTTGATAGATGTGCTTGGCACTTCTAGTCTCCACTAGCTTCACATTGTGTTGTGCACTGATAAAGTTTTATATTGTGGAGAAGCTGATTTTTGTGTACCAAGTATGCCATTTGATCCTTTGCCCCCTGTTTTTTTTCACAACATTGTTTGGCCTGTTATTTTTGCATGATGAACTGGGAACAGTTGTTAACCATTGCTGGGGAGTACTTAATGGATGGGGTATGAGTTGGAAGTTGCCTGGCGACAGAATTGAAGTTAATAGCCCTAACTTGAAACACTGTAAGGACGATTGATTGTTCAAATCAATGCATGCCGTTGGACATGGCAACAATCAATGATGTAATAGGGTCCGGCCATGGTGTATGAAACACTGCTTGGTTGTCAGGCCTTGTGCCTTTAGATTATAGATTGTTTGAATTGATCAGTGTTTGGAGTCTCCTCCTCTACATAAAAAGAGTCATGGTCATAGGACCACACAGAGGAAATTCATCACCACCACTACTACAACCAAAAACTTATGTACATTTATTGGTTGTCTGTGTTCAAGAGTACCAGGTCTTGGAGGTGATAAGAGAGCTACTAATTTTCGTCGCAAAAGACAGAGTATATCAGTTATTGATCAATGTGTGTAACCCTAACCCTAACCCTAAACCTGAAACCTATCCACAACTGCATGTGATCATCAACCTTGTCTGCAACAACACATGATTGTCAACCTTATCTGCAACCGCATGTGGCAATCCCGGACCCCACTGAGCGGGGTGTGCCAAGCACTCTCCACTTGCATAGAGGGCTGTAAGACAATTTTCACACACATGTACAGTACTGGTTGATGTGTCTGCGATCAAGACTATCAGGTCTTGAATGTGATAAGAGAATTGTGTCATCACAATACAGCCTGAGACAGTAGATCACTTCTCAATCAATATGTACACAAGCTTCATGTGATCATCAGCCTTATCTGCGGTATCAAAGGTCCATCCCCACCGCGCCGGCTGAAACACACTCCCCACTTGCGTAGAGAGCTGTAGTTAGCACAATTTTTCACAGAGATTCATTGCGAAGGTTAGCTCGACCCAGCCATCGCACAGACATGGTATTTGCAAACATCCACACTAGTGGGGAGTGTACGTACTTTCAATGACACGCCTTGCCAAGCTCTAGCAATGGATCCAGAGCTACCCAGTGATAACCAGAATTGGTGGCACAGAGAAGGGAAGCTTTAATCCCAATGTTGTCCTGTTTGAGGGTCCTATATCTACAGATTTATCAACTAAGGACCATTGTATCAATATGTACCTTCCTATGTTGACTATATTATGTGAAGTGTAAAATTCATTCGTGTGATATGAGTTGTAGAAGATACCAAGATCCCCAGTCCAATTTGTTTAACATCCACCTCCTTGTTTGAGAAAAAAAAGATGTTGAGATTCAGAAATTAAGATGAGTAAAATCATTTATCCATGTGGTAACAGCTTTCCAGAATGCATGCCACATAAGTGCTGATCAAAGTAATGCACCGACCCGGCCCCAACCCAAAGAATCTGAGCTGGACCGGGGCCAACCTCCCCCTCAGACCGGGCCAACCCGGTCCGCTAGCCCCAGAGATGTGATATGCTTGACAACCAAAAAAAAACGTAAATATATGATAAATATATGATTTTTTGATTTTTCTTCTCTTCTGTAGCCTTTGCTGAAGCTATCCAGCAGCTATTCTATAACAAAGAGACAAAAAATTTGTTGTATATATATGATACTTTAAGAAATTAAGATGATTTTGGTAAAATTTGCCCCCTATCATATGCCCGGGCAGACCCGGCTTTACCCAGATCTGAGCCGAGACCCGCCCGACCCGGTCCGGGTCCCGGTACCAAATCGGGTTTTGCGGACCGGGTCGGTGCATTAGATCAAAGCGCTCTGGATTTAGTTCACATAATTTCAGAATCTCTGTATGGTTGGAGATACATAATCTATTCGAGTGAATTTAGTCATACAATCCAAACACAACTTCATAAAGTTTTGTTGTGGATATAGGTAGCAAAATTTTATTATAAAAAAGCATTGACTTTGCTAGGGGCCAAAAAATCTCTATTTCATTCAAACGATTGATGATAACTTATGGTGGACAAGGGGCCCATCTCAATATCCTCAGATGAGTAAGGTGTGGGATGAGTGGGCTACCTTGAAATACAGTGTTGAGTACTATCATGGATGTTGTTTTGTGTTAATGAGCTCTTGACCAATTGAAAGGGTGTGTGCATAAGAATTAATTCACCACTTCATAAGTTAGGAGTGCATCAATCCAAAGAGTTAGCTTATCTGATAACCATCAAGGTCATACAACCCCAATCTGGAATACAATTGGCAAATGATGATTGATTTCTTAATTCCATTGTTGATTGTTAATTATAGCAAACCTGCTGGTGGAATAAGCGCGTGACCATTATTGAGGAGTCCAATTGGGACTCCAGATCACACTCAAGGTGGCAAAGAACCACACTAGACAGGCAACTATCATCCTTGACAATCAAGGTGTAGTCAAAGATCTCACATCAGACTCATCGTCTCTTTCTTCTTTGGACAATCAAAAGAAAACATTTGATCTACTTCACACCCTCTACCACAGTTATCCAAACCTCCGAATCAACGTCAGGTGGTGTCCCGGCCACGCCGGACTCCCAGGCAACAAAAAAGTTGACAAAATCACCAACACATTGGCAAAACAAGATCTACCAAGCACATTCACCAACTCACCTAACACCGCGGCGTTCATGTTGGCCATCAAAGAATGGCAAGGCAACCAAACTGACACCTTCAGCAACAAAGACAAAAAATGCCTAGGACATAAACCTCAGGCAAAGAAACATTTAGACAGCATATCAAAACTCCTGAAGCATGGAGTTGCTGTGATAACACAGCTACGTTCTGGCCACATCCCCCTAAATACCTATCTTAATCGATTCCAACAACCTATTGACCCCACCTGCAAATGTCAGGAGGGATTAGAAACAATTGAACATTTCCTTTTCCTTTGTCACAGGCACAAAAAAACATTGTGTGAAACTCGAACACAAATCCCTTGAACTTGGAGCAAGAATGAACAAGACCCTACTCGCCAACCACGGTATGGCCCTGGCTTGGTCCAGCCTTCAGGTACTGGCTCGGGCAAGGCGTTTGTGGGCTAATTCAAGGGCACAAGTTTGATCAATTCAGCATGTAAGGAGGACAAACCAAAAAAAGACAAAAAAGGAAAAAAGGGGACAAAGGAGCGTATAGAAATAAGAAACAAATAAAGTGCAACCATCAACGAGAGTAGAGAAAACAGTAAAAAAAAACTTTAACGAGAAGAGTAGAGATTCAAAAAGAAAACTACAAGGCCAAAACATAGCCCCATGACTTGAGACAAATCTGGGCTTCAAAGTTTTGATTGGTCATACTTGATCAATAATCAGACATCACTCTTGATCCAGCAGAAAAAATCCTTTCTGAAGGACCACCAGAAGCAGGGATGGCGAGCATGAACATAGCCATGCGAGAAAGAATTGGCCAGTTTGAGTGATTAGTTTTCCAAAATACTAATATATCGGTACGTTCATGCACAAGAGGGGCAAGGAGATACTCTCTCACTTTGTCTTCAAGCTGAATGTATTTGTGTCGTTTGATAAAGTGGTGTGGTCTATCATCGTCATTTTTGAGCACAGGGTCCGGTTCAACAATTTTGATATCAGGATCTTGAGGTTTCTTGAATTTACGAGCTTGTTTGGTAAAGTAATCTATGAGTTGGTCCTTGTCGAATCCAAGTTCTTCCAAGGTGAAAGCAGTTACAGCATTGAGCTTTTGGCGAGGGTCAAGAATTGGGGAACATATGTAAACTGGTTTCTTCAAAGCTAAGGTGGAATAGCGGACTAGTTTCTTGACCATAGGGAGAATTGCTGCCTTCAAGTTTGTACACTCAGATGTGCTCCATGCCTATGTTTGGTAAAAAGATGAGTCAGACATTGTATAAATATAAAGTAATTAATATGAAAAGAAAAGAAAAGAAAAGAAAAACTTACTTTTTCAAGCTTTTCAACAAGCCATTGATAGTCAGGCATTGCTCGTGAGAAAGTGGGATAATCATTGCCTTCAATCTCCTTGATCACAATCGCAAGAGGTTGTAAGAATTTGACTAAGCTGCCAACCAGGATCCATTCATCTTCGGTTAGGAGGAAAGGTTCTAAAGATTCATTTATGTTGCAATAATATTGAAGGACTTTCTTGAGTTCAAAGAATTGTTTGAGAGAGTAAAAGGTTGAAGACCATCGAGTCAAAACCTCGTGGATCAGTCCAACCTTTCGAGGCTGTGAGGAAGAGGCAATGCATTGATTGAGAGCCTGTTTGAGCTGAGTGCTCAAACGGACTTTCTTATGGAAACTGCAAATTCGAGTTAAAATTGAGTAGACTTTGAGATGAGGTGTCGGTTCAATCAATGAATTAGTACCATCAGGAATATTGTTTTCTTGATCTTGAGGTAGCTGAGGATCTAAAGCACTGAGAGGATCAGGAGGGGTTTTGCTGTCGAAGATCAAGACTCCAGCTTTGGCGACAAGATTGATAACGTGGGCAATACACCCATGGAGATTCTTCTCAGGATCGAAATGAGGAATGAGTTTCTTGAGCTCACGTCCCATGGTGAGATTGTTTGAAGCATTGTCTGCAGTGATGCCGTAAAGTTTGTTGGTGATTCCAAAATGATCCAAGGAGTGCTTGAGAAGTGATGCCATGTTTTTACCGGTATGAGCTCCATCAATCTCTTTCAAAGCTAAAACTACAGATCGCATTTGGAAATTGTTGGTCCTCCAGTGTGCGGTAATCCCAAGCATTGGTACACTGCTTGGTGAAGTCCAAGCATCACAAGTGATGCTAATATACTCGATCAAAGAGAAAAGGGGAGTGAGACAATTCCGAGCAAGACAGTATTGAGCAAGTTTATTATTGGTAATGGCGGTTTGTTTGGAAAGAAGAGGAGCGACGGCAGGATTGATCCAGGACAAGAGTTTGCGGAAAGCTGGGGCGTCGACTAGTGATACCGGGAGTTCTTGGTTGACGATAAGCCGTATAACGGCGTTAGTGAGAGTTCTCCTGTTGAGACTTCCCAACTTGAAAAGTAAAAAACAAATATAATCAGCGAGTGGCAATGAGAAGAACAAGAAAGAATGAAACACTTACATTTGAAGCCTTCCCGGTTTCTGGAAAGGATGTAAGAGTTTGTTGAGATGTGTCAATGGGAGCTTTGATGTGGTGTGCTCGTGAGAGGTGACGTATCATCAATTTGGTGCTGGAAGTCTTGTCAACCACAATCTCTTCTTCACACACTACAACCGGTGGGTCTTGATTTACCTGGTCAGCAAGGCCTTCGTTGGCGCGGTGTAGAACATAAAGCTCAACAAGAGCTTTACAGAGCTTAAAGAGGGATAATCTACTAATATAACTAACTAGTAGAAGTTGCCTAAGACTGCCTCTTTGAAAGAATCAACACGGGGTTTTGCTGAATTCTTTGGGATAAGGCACCAGATAAATTTGTCTCAATACTTAATTCAAGTATTATTCCCGTGATTTTTAGTTATAAAGAAATCTCAACACTATTGTAGTGTTATTCCAATTTGAACACAACAAAACACAACTTTTAATGCCTAGCAAAGCAACAATCAGTTTGATTGTTATTCCAATGAAGACTTGTAGTCTTATCACACGTAAAGAAATCTCTCCTTTGATGTAACACTGCACAGATGTAGTATTTTTCGGCTATGCAAAATGATTAGAATTAATGTCAAAAATAATTAAAAATGCTATGTTAATGCATAAAAATGCACCATTAATGCACCATTAATGAAAAAAAATGCAGCATCAATGCAGAAAAATGCAGTGTTAATGCACATGCAGAATGAATGCAGAATTCCACCTTTTTCAATTTTTTTTGTCCTTCAGGTCAATCATTTTTCACTTGGGAAAAATACTACATTTTCCCAGTGTAAAGGGGCAATTTAGTGAACTTAGTACTGCTAAAGTAATTCAATAATGATTAAAAACACTCTAACAAAAGTATAAGATGAGTAAAAAGGGGAACAAAGGCCCGTAAAATCCCTAACAATAGTATATGACCCTCTAACAACCTTCAACAATTACGGTACTCAAAGCTACATAGTTACACGTATATAGTTGTCGTATATACTTTTTTTTGGCGGGGAAAATAAAACGAATATACTTTTGGACTTGTTTTCCCCGCCAAAAAAAACTATGTAGCAAAAAGTATGTACGCGTACATACTATGGTCAAAAATCTCCAAAAAACCCTCAAAAACCGTCAAAATCAACAGAATATCCTCCAATGTAACCATATGATGTCATAAATATTATTGTTTGTAATGATTCAAGGCGTGAATTTGATCAATTGGTGTGAATAAATGATGAACAGATCTTCTTATGATGAATGCAGGTGATTTTTTCGTAATATTCATAGCTGAAATCCATTTTTGGAATTACAAATTTTTTGTAAAGTTGTTCAATTTTTGATTACTATAGCTCATTTGATAGCCCTCGTGATACTGATCATTTATCACCCCCATATGACCTATTTCTGATGTGTGATGAATAAGTTATTGAGTTGTAAAGATTGAAAAAATAAAGTTTTGTCATGTAAATGTCACATGTAGCCTCCAAATTCGAAATTCACTCCAGTTTCTTTGTTGCCTTATAAATTTCTCACTACTCCTCCGTTACTAATGATTTAAAGGTTGTACATTATGAAACCAATGATTTTGCGTCGAATGAACTAGCACACACCTATTTCTGACAAGGTTTACCATATGTAATTAACTAAAAACCTCCAATTTTGATGAATTTTGACTATTTTCACGTCTAATAATGATTTTCCTTCTATCAAAAGATCATTCCACAGCACTCCAATCAATCACACAGCACTAAAATCAATCTGAAAAACTCTTGGCGCAATCAATCCATCAATGACATCACTACACAGGAATTAATACCATAGTACCCTTTTTCGAAATTTCCCTTTTCTTGAATAATTTCACATCTCCCTTATCAATCCTCATGATTAAAGTTGCTGATGAATAATCTTGTCCTTCCCTTTCACAATAAAACCTTCCTGAACCAATAACTCTTATAATAATAACCTAAAAACCACTTTCCAGCCTTTCATACCCATATTTTCAAATTTTCCTTCAACTTTCTCAATATTCTTCTTCTTCTTTCATTCTTTTCATAACAGTTTCCATTCCTTAAGATTCAAACTAAATGTTCTTCTTCCTCAAATCCCTTCTTACTAATTAATTCCTTTAATTTGATTTTCACTCTTATATTATTTTTATTGATCTTTTCGAATTTTTCTTCACTCTTAAATGGTCTTATCAATTGCTTATGTAAATATATGATTTGAAAGATAATGAAATGAGGATTATAAATCAACTATGATACCCTTGATGACTAATAACTTCAATAATAATTTTGCCTTTGACCAAAAACACAAATTTTCACATAATTTTTAAAATTTTTGCTTAAGTAGAGATCTTGCTCACCACAGCGGCAGATGTTCCTGACCGATTTGTCGGGGAACGTGACTGTCAAAAAATACTGCCACACCCAAGAGGTGCGGTTGGTGGCAGTGTTTCCTGACTCGACTGCACTAGCCACAGCAGAGATGGAATCAGAAGGAGCAGTTGAAGTCGCGGCGCTGGAGGTTGTCAACATCGTGTTGTGGTTTGGGTCAGTGATCTTGCGGCAAAGACTGCATCGAGACATTGGGGTGGTTTTTTATGTTAAGGGATTGGGTATTGGATATCCTGCGTATGAGGGTGCTAGGGTATGGACAAGGGTAAAGGGTTAACCAACAAGCCCTTTGCCCTTCCCTGGTGTTATATTTTGGCGGCGGCCCCGGCCCCGGACGGCCCAAAACGGGGCTTTTGCCCTTATCACTCGGTTAGGGCTTAGGCCCCGGGCTTGGCGACAAGTTGATCAAAAAAACCCTTGGGCAGGGCCAGGGCCGGGTCATAGCCCTAGAACAGCCACAGGGTTTTTACCAGTACTAGAAATAAGTGCAGAGTGTTTGATAGTCCTCGGACTGAATAAACACTTAAAACCATGCAATATAATGGTAGTTTTCTGCAGGAGGCACGAGAAAGGTGGGCGGTGTCCACGCCTACGTGTAGAGCATGACACTTGTGCCTTGGCGGAACTCATCCTAAGAGAATATCAACGTAATCAAAACCAAGGGTCTTGTTTCAGACCAAACCCCGCCAGGACTGGTCTGATAACTTGGCGTTGCTAATCCTGACCAGTAAGGGTCTGAAGAATGCTGTCATTACAAAGAAACCCTTTTTCTTCGTGATGCAAAGGCAATAATACCTCTTGTATGAGTTCTTAAAGAGGCCACGGTTGAGAATCTGGGACTTCATCCCCTCATCCGTTATCCACTTGAATCTTTTTGTTATCCAATTTCTTTTACCAATATAAATCTTCATAACAGCTTCAATTAGTATTGTTTGATTATACCAACAAAGGCTCTCACTTGTTCATCAAAACTTTTTGAAGAATTTGTATCAAATTTTCTTAAAAACCTTTCTTCTTTGCGTGTATTACTTTTATACCAACCAAGGCTTGTCATACATCCTAAAGAGCTCGTCATTCAGTGTAGAAAACAAGAACTCATTCTATAAGCACCTCCTTGTTCATATCTGTCAATAACATTGTCCACTTCTTTTTACAAAGCCACCCACCAAAGAGCCTCTTGTAAAAAATCATTGTTATCTCAAAGAACACACCTGACACAAAATACTTAAAAGAAAGAAAATGTCACCAAATAAAATTGAAAGAACCGCCTCACGTCTCAACGCCTTAAATACAACAAGTGGAAATATGGCCGGTCCTTCAGACGCCACCACAAACGGTACTGGTACCCAAACAGGCAACACAAAAGAGACAAGTGAGCAATATTTTGCAATCCATCTGGTCATAAGCAATCTCCCCGAGATTAACTCAATAAATAGAAGTATCCTGAAAACACTTCTCCATCTGCCCAATTACCCTATAGATAACAAAGAACCACCAAGTGAAAAAGGACCAGAAGATCCCAAGAAACAAGATAACAATGGTAAGCAAGTGCTCATTTACCAAAAAAAATTAAAAAGGTTTGCATCGTTAACAAATTTCCAACACCAAAAAACCAATCACCTTCTTTAGATGCGTCAAAAGAAAAAGAAAAATCAAACGTAAACGGTGAAACAGAAAAACAAAATGAAAAAAGTAAGCAGTTTTTTACTCTTACCAAAATCAGGCAAAATACATTAAAACCCATCTAAAAAATCCCCTTTTCTGATTGGTTCAGGCTCCAGCAAAGATCAGTTAAAAGAAGACAATCCCGAAGATCATTCACAAAGCAAACAACCTGATAAAGGGAAAGGACCTGGAAGGACTAGGTGAGAAACTCGACTCAATCTCTCATCAAAAAAAAGTCCCAAGAGAAAACCATGTCAAACACAAAAACTAACTATTCCCTCTACTCCAAACCCGGATGTAGATTCTTCCACTGACATAACTATTGATGACTGTCTAGCTATCACCAAAAGTTGATTTACCCAAGAGTTCAACGGTACCACCGTGCTCCCAAAGATTAAGAAGAAAGTTCCTAAAATGAGCGATGAAGATAGAAAAGAAAAATTGTGTCAAGTCCAAGCTAGACTCGAAGAGATAGAGGAACTAGTCAGGAAGTCAGCTGAACTCACAGGTTTACCAACCGACGAAGACACTGAAATAGCCGATCCTGATGATGTATCCAAACCCCTTCCCAACTGCTCCTTTGAAGAAGGAGGTTTATCCTTTGACTTCAGCAAAGCCGCTGACGCCAATGCCATAGGATTACCATTATTCTTCCACAAGAATATGCAAATCCTACAAGGATCACTTCCTCTACCAATCTTCAACAAACCTTGGCAGCAAGCAGCTTCCAATAACCACACTGATTATAAGAAGAGAGACAAAGAAGTTGAAAAGTACAGAGGCCATCCTTTTCCTGGAGAGTGGTCACAGTCCCGTTTTGACTGGAATAAAAACTTCAACACTCTAGTAGACACCTGTAGAAGAGTCTACAAATACTACTCCTTTGCCAACACCCTAGAAATTCACAAGAAAAATGTCATCAAAATTTTTAAAGACCAAAGATCTTGGGTAGTAGCCTTTTGTTATGACTTAACTATCAGAAAAGCAACCTTCGCTGTCCGAAATCCAAGCGACAAGATCCCCAATCCAGCTCTAGAACCCACCGGCTTAGTAAATGAAATTTATTACGCAGCCAGAGCTCAAGGTGACCTAAATCTAGATGATAATCCTTATAGAAAAGGAGGACCCAAGTTCGGACAAAACCTTTATTCTGATATAACGTCTGAACCATCCCCATCTCATTCAAACCAATCCAACGCGACTGCCGGTCCTTCCAGATCTTACAACTCTGGAAGAAATCAGCCCAGAACGCAAGGACCCTACGGCAATTATAAAGGAAAGAATTTCAACCCCAGCTACAAAAGACCAGATGGAAACAAGCCAGAAAATTTCAAAGGAAAAGGAAAAGAAAAAATGTAGGCCGCACCTCACAATTCTTTCCAAAACTCCCATTTCCTTTGTTTTCAATTTTTTAGAAAAACTACCCCCGTTGTTTCCTCTCTAAAAAATAAATAAATATGTGAATCAAAAACATTGAAACTTGTACCAAACTCATAAAAATGTTTTTTCCATTTTTTGCACAATTTTTGTCTTGTCCAATCTGCTGTACCCAATTTGCAAATATCACACTCGTTCACAACCTAAAAAGTTTCAATCGTGCCAACTCCGAAAGTTCTCACCTTTCCTCAGACGATTCTTTCATCCTCTCATGCAATACTGAACCAAGCTCACAACCTCCCAATGAAAACATAAGATGGCTTTCAGAAGACCTATGGCCTACCAAAGTCACCTGTGAGATGAATATCCCAGAATGGAAGAAAGCACTTAAATCAGCTGGAATTCCAGAAGAATATGAAGATGTTATTCATGGTTTCACTTACGGTTTTGACCAAGGAATACCATACCATTGTTTCAAAAATTGCAAATGGTACACACCTCCCAACCACGCATCCGCCGCACTAGCAAAAGAGAAAATTATCAAAAGTATGCAAAAAGAAAAATCCTTAGGACGCATCTTTGGCCCTTTCACCCACGAAGAAGTCTATAATAGATGTGGTTTCTTTTGTACTAACCCAATGGGAGCTGTGGTCAACGGAGACGGATCAATAAGACCCATTAATGACTTATCTTTTCCACGAAATAATCCCAACATTCCTTCTCTTAATTCATTCGCAAATGCAGAAGATTTCAAACCCACCTGGAACGACTTCTCTACAGTATCACAATATTTCAGAAAAATTAGCGTTCCTTTTCTTATGGCCATTTTTGACTGGGAAAAGGCATACCGCCAGATCCCAACCATGCTATACCAACGACAGTACATGATGATTTTGGCACCAGACGTCACCATCTATTATGATAGCCGAATCGGTTTTGGAGGAGTCGGTGGCTGTGGATCCTTTGGAAGACCAGCAGACGGTTGGAAACTTATCATAAAGAACAAATTTGATCTAATGGAAATCTTCAGATGGGTTGATGACGCTTTATTCATAAAAGAAACGAAATCAGAAGTAATCATGAAAGATATAGTTGTCAGAAGTTTAGAACTCGGAGTCATCACCAATCAAGAAAAAAAACAGATTTCAAACCAGAACAAAAGTTTATCGGTTTTATCTAGAATGGAATTGAAAAAACTGTTTGACTTCCACCCCTGAAGCTAGAACAATGCAAATCACAAGTTAATGAAGCTCTGGAAAATGGCAGAAGATTCTCCTTTAATGATGTAGAAGTCCTAACTGGTCGACTCACTCACGTTTCTCTAATCCTGCCACAGATGAAATGCAATCTCACATCACTCTACAGATGGATGAAAAGTTGGGTACACAAGTTTGCTACTCAACTCCTCCCTCCAGACGTGAGGAAAGACCTAGGAGAGTGGAAGTGGATTCTGTCTATTTTCGAACAAACCAGGTTAATCAGGTTCTCAGATCCAATCGACATTGGCTGGGTCGGAGACGCTTCCCCAAGCTACGGGGTTGGAGTTTTAATAGGCGGCAAAGAATGGTTTCAATTAAAACTTAAAGTAGGATGGCAAAACTCAGGTGAAACCCCAAGAGGAATTGCATGGCTAGAAACGGTGGCCATTCGGATTGGCCTTTATCATATCGTCTCCACAATAAGTTGTAAAGGAAAGACATTGATTTCCTGGACTGACAATACTACAAGCGAAAACGCAGTGAAGAACCGGAAATCTAAAGATATAGAAGTCAATACTGAATGGAAGAAAATCCAAAAGCTGCTAATCAAAAACCAAATGGACCTTGTAGCCAAAAGAGTGATATCAAAGAGAAACATGGCAGATGATATATCAAGAGGAGAAGGAGAGGAGCACGACAAAGACGAAAAGTATAGAGTTATGACTGCCTTCCCGTCAGATCTGTTTGACTGTTTTTCCCAAAACTGGAAGGAAGAAGAAGAATTCGACGACCTCAGCTCACAATTCCCCGGATTGATATGTGACTGATGAAAATGTCTTTCTCTCAAGCGTTTGTTGCTAATAGCAGATAGATAATTATTTGCCCCTGTTCTTGTTCTCTTGAAAAATGTCTTGTTTACAAAAATGTTCCGAATTTTTTTGTTTCACAATAAAGTGTCTTATCTCCAGAACTGTCCAGAATCTCTTTGTCTCTGCAATTTCATTTGAATGTAAGACAAAATAATAAAGGGATAAGTTCGTACAGTAACAAAAAAGAGAAGCTAATTCTGACCCATGAGAGACATGAAACACGTAAGAACAAAGGTAAAAGTAAGTGAGTTGAATCAGGAACAAAAAATCCCAAAGGCGAGTCACGCCTGTAAGAGCATCCGCTATCGTTGCTGTAAAGACCTCGGTACTGTAAATTTGATTGAAATTTACAGTACCGAGGCTCAAAATCACCAATTGTGTACAAAGTACACATCGGTACATACCGATTCAGTAAAAGTTCGGTATAGGTCCTGTAAATCTACAGAACCTATACCGAGTCGGTATCTGCAAATTCTACCGATCCTACAGAAGGAAACTTGTCCCAAAACCCTACACAACATCCTTTCATTCGTCCTCTCATCACCTTTGATTTCAATCAACATCCCTTCCATCATCATTGGTTCAGAACTTCAAGATTCCTATCTTCATTGCTTCACTTCAAGCTTAATCAAAATGAACAATAGTCAACAAACTGAAACAGAATCATCGAAGAAGAATGTATTGCCTTCTCAAAAAATGTTGGACTGATTCCAAACACAAAAACAATCTTAGTATGAGATTAAAAACACACAAGACAAATCTTATAATAAGATTGTTGGAAAGAGAAAATCAGATCATCTTTATTACCTGATTCCAAACACAAAAACAATCTTAGTATGAGATTAAAAACACACAAGACAAATGTTATAATAAGATTGTTAGAAAGAGAAAATCAGATGAAGAAAGAGGGAAACATCTGATTGCTGTTTGAGGTCAGGTTATAAAGTGAAAACAAATTTGAATCGAGATATGACATCATAGGTTGAAATGAAGTGATGTAATACATGATGTAATATTCACAGATGAAAAACCGAAAAAGGAAAATGAAAAGAGACTTTTGAAAGCATCCTTGGATATCCAATCCAACACCCCCCCATGCTAAAAAAGTCGAGTCATGAATAAGACTTGTTGCTAAAATTTAATTGATCACGAAAGTTGATAAAAGTTGGTTTTGAAAGGGCTTTTGTTAGAAAATCAGCGAGTTGGTACAAAGTATTGACTTGCTTGAGTACAATGTTTTTATCTTTGATCAATTGACGTATGAAGTGATACCGCAAATCTATGTGTTTACTGCAAGAGTGATGAGCAGGATTGTTAGCTAAAGCCGCTGACCCGGTATTATCATAATGAAGGATAGTTGGAGAGTTATCTATAAAACTAATTTCTTGAAGTATCTGTCTCAACCACATGGCCTCTCTGCCTGCGTCACTAAGAGCCATATATTCAGCCTCTGTGCTTGACAAGGCTGTTGTTCTTTGCTTCCTTGACTTCCATGATATAACCCCATCTGCTAATCTAAACAAGTATCCTGAAGTAGACGATCTGTCATGAAGGTTTTCAGCCCAATCTGAATCAGTAAAACCTTGTAACCTATTGTCGGAACCCCCCAAGGTGAGACCCAGATGCCTAGTGTGATAAACATAAGCTAGAATTCTCAGTGCAGCGTTCCAGTGATTAGCATTGTTCTTTTTTAGGAATTGAGATAAGCGATTCACAGCAAATGCTATATCTGGTCGTGTACACTGCGCGAGCCATAGTAGAGCACCAATGATAGAACCGTATTTGGGATTTGCTGTTGAAACATCACTGGCTGGTACGAGAGAATTGAAACCTGTGACATATGGCGTAGCGACATGCTTTGGTTCTTCGTGAAAGAATTGTTTAGAAATTTTTAGAATATAAGAAGTTTGTTGTAAAGTAAAATACCTGAGATCTTCTGAACGGCTAATTGAAATCGATAGATGATGCTCAAGATCTGTGTTGGCGGAAATAGGAAATTGAGAATGAAGAGCAGAAGAAGTAGAAGAGATGAAATCGTCTTCACCGGTAATTGAAATGTCATCAATATGGATAGTGACTAGTCCAATTAAGATGTTGTTTACTAATTTGAAGAAAAGTGTGGGATCGTGAGCTGACTGTCTTAAACCCATATTGATGAGTTGTGAAGTAAATCGGTCATTCCAATTCCTTGCAGATTGATGTAGTCCGTATAAAGGTAAAATTAACTTGCAAACGTAGTCAGGGAATTCGGCATCTTTAAATCCTTCTGGTTGTTCCATGTAAACGTCTTCTTCCAAAGGATTACCATGTAAAAATGCTGCAGTAATATCTAAACCTTTGACTTTCCATCTTTTCACTCCCGCAACGGTTAATAGGATTCTATTTGATTCTTGTCTTGATGCAGGTGAAAATACATCACCAAAGTCCACCCCAGCGATTTGCCTACAACCAAGCACTACAAGACGTCCTTTGTACTTCTCAATACCTCCAGACGGTAAGATTTTGCGCTTAAAGACCCACATCGATTGTAAAACACGTGCGTTTGATGGTCGTGGGACTAGCTTCCAAGTACCTAGTTTCATTAGTGTATTGATTTCAACTTTTGCTGCCTTTTCCCACTCTAAAGCTTCCTCACTATCGAGTGCTTTCCTATACAATTTTGGTTCAGGAGAAGATAAATCGATGACAAATGCCAAAGGTTTATACCTATCTGGTTCATTTCTTACCCGTGAACTTCGTCTAGGTAGTACAGGTGGCGGGTTGGCAGGTTGTAAAGTCAAAACAGGTACTGTTGGTGTGTCTTCAGTAGGTACGACTGATGTTTGTTGTTCGGGTTGTTTAGGTGAAATAGGTCTTGGCGTAATCGTTTCATCATGATGAAGTTCAGTGGGTGAAAGTTGAGTAGGAGAGTCTGATGAGATAGGATCAGTTGGTTGTAAAGAAACCAAACGTTGTTCAACAATAGGTGAAACTGGTGAAGGTCGAGATTTGGATCTGGTTACTATGTGATAAGGCTGTACCGGTTCCTCAATCGATGATAGATCAGGCCATGGGAGGGTTAAAACATCTTTTGGTTGTTGACTAGGAGAATTAAGAAAAGGAAAGATATCAAAATAAAATTTGAAAGATGCAGTCTTGATGAGTAAGTGTCTCGCTCTGTCATAAGCTACAACATACTTTCCATCCAAAACCGAATGTAGAAAAACTGCCTGTTGTGATACCGGGGAAAGTTTTGATTTTAGAGGGGAAGGTAGAAGATACTCTACAGCGCATCCCAAGGGTGCAAATAGCTTAACATCGTCTTGTCGATGGCCTAATGCAGAGAGAGGTGAGCAAAGACCGGTGTTGGTCTTGGTAGGGAAATTGTTGAAACAAAGAATTATTTGTTGAAGACATTCAGGCCAGAAGTAAAGTGGAACTTTTGAAGATGAAAACAAGGTCCTTAGACGCTCAGAAGCTGTGCGATTCCAGCGTTCTGCAACACCATTCGACTCAGGCGTGTAAGGAGCTCCACAAAATTGAGTAATACCTTCACTCAGACAAAAATCACTCATGTTTGAGTTGAGAAATTCTGTGCCGTTATCGGATCGTAGACTCAAAACAGACAAATTAAATTTCAATTTGATCAAATTAACGTATATCTTGAAATAGAGGTGAACCACATCTTTTGACTTCATAGCATAGCAAACAGTGAACTTTGAATAATTGTCTATAAAAGAAACAAAGTAGGGATAAACAGCTTTTGATTTGAGAGGCAAGAATGCTACATCGGAATGAACCACTGAGAAAGGGGTTTTTGATCTATAAGTAGATCTAGATCGGAAAGTTTTCTTATGCAGTTTTCCTCTACAACAATGAATGCAATCTTTGACTCGCTTAACATCTTCTTCTGAAATTGGTACAGACACATTTAAACTTGATAAAGCTCGTTTAGTACCTTTTTCGCCCAAATGACCAAGCATGCAGTGCCATTGATAAAAAGAAGAGTTAGGTATTGATAAATTACTTGATGAGACAGTAAAATTGCTGACATCGTGTTTCAAAATTGGTAAACCTCCGTGATAAGCTCCTTGAGCAACGACCGTTCCATCCGAATTGACGATTTCAATGCGATCAGGTAGAAAGGATGTGGAAAAACCACAAGATCGAAGCTGGGAGATAGATAACAGGCTGTGTTGTAAGCCAGGCACTTCTATGACATCAAAGGAGGGAGAAGTGTTGGACCAAGGAAAGGTCAATGTACGTTGCTGAGAAACGTTCAGACTGATACCGTTTGCTACTCGAATCGATGGTACGTGAGGTTTGTTAGACAGCGTAGATGCGAGTAATTCTTCAGTAGTAAAACTAGGAATACAAGACTGGGTACAACCGGAATCCAAGATCCACAATTGCTTCCCGATGTTTGTCGCTAACGCAAAAGCCTCAGTGGTCACTAAAAAACCTGAACCTTTGGGTTGATGAAAGATGGTTTCCGGAGCAGGATTCCAGGCAGATAAAGGAATGGAATTAGAAGATGGAGACGACTCTTGAACCAAACTCGCTTCAGGACGAGGCATAGGTGCAGATAGATTAGGATTATTCTGTAACATCTGATTAAAGAATTGTTTGGCCAGTTTGTTACAAGTCTGCCAGCTGTGTCCTCTTATGTTACAGTGGGAACAAGTTAGATCGTTCGAAGCTGGATTGTTCGATTGCAAAGTCGGTTGTTGTTTGTTACCACGTCTAGATGATTGAGAAGGACGTGACACAGGAGCAGATGGCGTTGGAGTTATTGCTAGCACGTGAGAAGATGCATTTGCTTGGTCTCGACAATGGATACCTTCACGACGAAGGGCAGAAACCAGTGAGCCGGCAGTAACCGACTTCTTGTTCATGAGACTACTAATAGATGAGTTCCAGTCTGAAGGTAAGGATGCACTTAGAGCAGCACATACTATATCATCCATGCTGAGTTTAGACTTAGCTATTAATTGACCAAGTTGAGTAGCCAGCTTTTCAACGTTGGAAAGATGAGTGTCAATATCGTCATCGACCATTTGACATGAGATAAGACGTTGTAATACCAGAATTTTTGATCCCATTGATGCATTGTTATGTGAATCAGAGAGTGCCTGCCACATTGCCGCAGCGTTACCCATTTGTGGTCGCATCACAGCATAGTTGTTAGGATGAGCATGACGTAACAGAACAGAACAGATAGCATTGTTCTGCTGAGTCCAGTGGAAATTAGGCTCATCTGCATCACGAAGTTTTGGATTTAAAACATGAGCCATCCCAGCACCGATAATCAATCCCGACATAGCCAACTCCCAGTTGCCGTAGTTCGAGTTATCGCCCGGAGGTTCGAGCATTGATAAACCTACAACTGATGATGTGGGAAGGGCTAAAGGACCCCATTTTGACCCAACCGAGAACAGGTCATCAAAGTTGGTCGGTGGTGTGGAGGGTTCTTTCGGTGCAGATGAAAGGGTTTCCTTTCCTTTTGGTTCTGTCAAGGTAGATGCCATATCGAATCAAAAAGAAATCGAGATTTTAGGCGCTCATAACCTGTTGGACTGATTCCAAACACAAAAACAATCTTAGTATGAGATTAAAAACACACAAGACAAATCTTATAATAAGATTGTTAGAAAGAGAAATTCAGATGAAGAAAAAGGGAAACATCTGATTGCTGTTTGAGGTCAGGTTATAAAGTGAAAACAAATTTGAATCGAGATATGACATCATAGGTTGAAATGAAGTGATGTAATACATGATGTAATATTCACAGATGAAAAACCAAAAAAGGAAAATGAAAAGAGACTTTTGAAAGCATCCTCGGATATCCAATCCAACAAAAAATCAAGTCCACGAATTGGTCTTCTGCTGAAGAAGAGTTGCTAGCTACTGCTTGGCTCCACATTAGCCAGCAACCCGAGATGGGTACCAATCAGACTGGCGATGGTTTTTTCCAGCGAGTCACCAATCACCTCGAGTCCATCTCCTCGTTCACCAAGCGAGACATGAAGTCTGTCAAAGTAAAGTGAGTCAAGTTTGATATGTTGGTTATCATCAGTTGATCATCAAAACTGATTCATTACTTTTTCGGAGATGGTCTGCTTTAAAGACAGCTACGATCAAATTCTCAGGAATCATGGCTCAGATTGAGCACAGTCCTCCCAGCGGTACTGTTCAGACTGATTGGCCTGAACTCGCCATCAAAATCTACAACGAATCGAACGCCAGAGCTCACTTCAAGTCTCTCGCAGCCTGGCGAATCCTTTCTGCGGCGCCAAAGTGGATCGTGCCACGTCCTCCACCAGGTCCTCTTGCAATGTCAATTTCTAGCGCCAGCAACCCCCTCAGTGACGCCTCCGGTGGCCCCTCCAGCGACTCAGCGCTTGATTCAGGTGTCAATACACCTCGTGCCTTGACTCCTCCTCGCCCCACTGGCATGAAGAAAACCAAACGTCAACGACTTCAAGACGAGAAGGCTGAAGCGATCGAAGATCGCCAAGATCAACTTAAACGGGCAAATGAGTTAGCTGAACGTCGAGTCAAGGCTCTTGAAGAAGGAACCGAACTCACCAAGAAGATGGCTTTAAAAGATGCTGAAGCTAAAGATAGTTTAGTTCAAGTAAATGATCTCAAAGTCTTAATGATGAAAGAAGAGAATTGTCATACCGAGCTTGCCAAGGAGACCCTCAAATTAATGCAACAAAGATTAAAGGAAAAGTACTCATCTGAAGCCTCGAGTAGTAATTAGAATCAAAGTTTTTTGTGCTACTTCAACTCACCAATCGATTTTGTTTAGATTGATAGTTACTTTTGCTGAACTCAATCAAATCTTGAAGACAAGATGTTCTTCTTTGCTTTATGCTCTTTGTATTTCTTAAGTTTATCGAATCAAACACATGTTTCAACTCAAGATTGGGTTTTTTCTTGAAAAGATGTTATGTCTTTTATTATACTCTTTTTGTGTGTGTCATTTTTATCAAATTGAGAACATCATTTATATTTCTTTCTTCTTCTATTTGTTTCTGGTAGTTTGTAAAGACAAAAGGAATAGAAAGAAACAATTTGATCCGATGACATGAAACTTGAAAAAATGAGCATCAAGGCTTATTCTGTCCCCCTCGTGCTGCCCAGTTATAAATCTTGAGATCGTTCATCAGACGATGGTGCATCTGAGAGTCGTGTAAATCAATATAATTGGACATTAAAGATTCAGAAGACAGTCGGACATCTGGATTTTGTCGATTTGGTATGATTGTGGAGTTTGTCGCAAAATCCTTGACTCGGGGATCTTCCACCTCTCTTTCTTCTACGATCATGTTGTGAAGTACTATACATGCATACATTACTCTACGGATGTCGTGTAGAAGCCAAAGCCTACATGGGTGTGCTATGATGTGCCAACGGGCTTGAAGGCCCCCAAACGCTCGCTCGATATCTTTTCGAGCGGTCTCCTGTTGTTGTGCATACCAGGAGGAAGCAGCATCTCCTGGTTTATTGATGGTCTTGATTAACACCGGCCACGTTGGGTATATACCGTCTGCGAGGTAGTATCCATGTTCGTAGTGATTACCGTTCACTTCGAAGTTCAACAATTCATCGGTCCCTGAATCAAGAACATGTCAGTTCTTGGAAAGTAATGAAAGGAATGATTCCACTACCTACCAGCCAAAAAACGGTGAAAGTGGGGACTCTGATTGAGGACGTTTATGTCATTCAGAGAGCCCGGAACACCAAAAAAAGCATGCCATATGCGTGTGCTTTTTGATGCCACAGCCTCCAATACAATAGTAGCTTTCTTCTCTTTCCCTTGGAACTGTCCTGCCCATCCGGAAGGACAGTTCTTCCAAATTCAATGCATGCCATCAATTGATCCTTTGCAACCCGGAAAACCTCGTATTTCGTATTCCTTGGTAATCTTTTTGAGCTCGTCCTCTCTTGGTGGGCGGAGATATTCAGGTCCGTATATTTCTATCACTCCTTGTACAAACTTTTTCAAACACAAAATGGCTGTTGTTTCGCCAATACCAACAACCTCATCTAGAAGATCAGCCGAAACCCCATATGCAAGCTGACGTATTGCTGAGGTGGCTTTTTGTATAGTTGATAACCCAAGTTGAAGGCAGCAGTCCTACAGGATGAACACATTAGAATCAATCAATATTGAAAGATATGAAAAAAGATATACATACATATCTTTGAACCCAAAATTTGTCATGTGCTTCAAGCTTTCGACAAATATCAAGGAATCTTTCCCTGCCCATTCGAAAGCGTCTCTCAAACACTTCATCATTCCACCGTGGTGTTTCAGCAAAGTAATGGCAAACCAGACGCTCATGGTCTGCTTGCCTTTCACGAACAATCCTTCTCCTTCTTTGTTTGTGTCCATGAGTCATCTCTTCATCGGTCAACTCTAGGGCCAAGAAGGCATCGTCACTGTCCTCCTTGGCTGCTTCAGAGTCTCGAATCATCTGTAGGTGATTACAGATGAGGGTGTTCGACATCAGATTACTGATTTGCAAGTTGTATTCGAGATCATCATCGGAATCCGAATCCATAGATTGAGTTTTAGTTGAGTTGTAGACCTTGTCGATTGATTTTGGAATGCTGATGAAGGTTTGTGAAGAAGTGAAAACCTTGCAGCTCCTTGCAGAGTTTTTTTACAGAATATACGATTGTGGGACTATGTCTATTCTGTACGGTACGTACCGTACAGAATAGACTATACAGATACGATAGTGGATTTCAGCAGGACCCCGGAAAGCTCCAGGTAAACTATCCGACCTAAAATGTATGGATTGAGGGTCCAAAAAAACGCTGACGTACCAACGAAAAAGGAATTTTTTGGGTCTTTTTCGAGCAAAAACCCGTTTTTTTGAATTCAGACGTACCGACCTGACAGGTATGGATTTGTCTTTGGCCGGAAAAAAAGGCCAAAAACACTCCCTTTTCAACGTACATACCGACGAAAAACAAATGGATTCGTCTCGTGAGGAAATTTTAGCGATTTTTGCTCTTTGAACGTACCGACAAAACCGGAATTGTTTGACCTCAATTTTTGGGTTTTTACCGCGTCACAGGGTATTGAAAAGGTCAATTTGGGTGGTTTTAGGTCGGATAGTTGACCTGGAGCTTTCCGGGGTCCTATTTCAGCACTTCTGTATCTGAATTTACCGTACTTTGAAATCTGTACAGTAAAATTTACAGTACATTTACTGAAACGATAGCGGATGCTCTAAGAGCATCAGAATCCATACCAAAAGTCGCCAATTCAACAAGGGAAGCAACACCAGTTCAGTCTGCTGCGCCCCAGCACATACCTCTGGTCTCTCCAGTGACCATTATACAGGTGTGTAGTCACTAAGGGCACGTTTGGTAGCGATTTTTAAAATAAACCCCAATTACCCCCGGGTACATTGCCCCGGGGCGAAGGAGCTTTTGTGCAAAATCGAGCTTTTTCAAAAAAAACTCCGTTTTGAGTACATTCAAAAAAAACTTGTTTGGTTGAACTTTCATTCAAACCCTGTTTACCACTTCTCACATCTTCTCGCACGTCACATCTCACCAACTGTATTCATCTGGATTCACCACCGATGTCCGATACAGATTCATCTGGAGACTTCAGACCGGAATGGCTGTCCTCGTCTGATGAGGACAGCGACGATGAGCTCCTCAATCTACTACTTGAGCACGCTCGGAACCGCGTGGCTCGAAGAGCTCTGCCAAGGAGACCGTATCACGACTCCGCTCTTCGAGGATTTCTCTACAAGCGAGAGTTGTTGAATGGTCATCCGGGAAGGTTTCAACAAGTTTGTCGAATGGACAAAGCCACGTTCAAAGGTGTCATGAAGATCCTTGGACCCCACCTCGAAGACACTATCCACATCTCTGCCAACGAGCAGGTGATGATATTCCTGTACATAGTTGGTAACACCTCTACCAACGCTACGGCTGCTGAGAGATGGCCACACTCCGGCGAAACTATTTCAAGATATTATAACAAAGTACTCGATATTCTTGAAAGCCTGAAAGATGAAATCATCGTTCAACCAGGGCCTGATACGCCGATCCCAGATGAAATCTCCGAAAGTACGAGGTACTCACCTTTCTTTGATGGGTGTGTTGGTGCCCTCGATGGGACTCACATTCCTGTGAGAGCTCCAGTCGCCGACCAAGCTCCCTACCGTGATTGAAAGGGTGATCTGAGCCAGAATGTTCTGGCGGCCTGCAATTTCAATCTCATGTTTTCTTTCGTACTCGCCGGTTTTGAAGGTAGTACTTCTGATCCTGACGTACTATATGCCGCAAGACACGATGGTGCCTTTGTTATACCAGAGGGTGAGTCTTTCATTTTCTTCAACTTATATATATATATCACTTAGGACTGTTTCCCATCCTAGGACGCTTCTATCTTGGTGATGCTGCCTACGCCAACGGTAATGGTATCTTAACACCATACCGTGGATTTCGCTACCACATTCAAGAGTGGGCTCGAGGCCGAACCGCACCACAAAATTACCAAGAATTGTTCAATTATCGCCATTCTCAACTGAGAATGATCATTGAACAAGACTTCGGAGTCTGGAAGATACGATTTGTGATTCTAGTCCTAATGCGAAGATTTCCATTACATTGACAAGGAAGTCTTGTAGTGGCACTCGCTGTTCTTCACAACCTCATCATGCGAGGTGGTGAAGATCAATTCTTTGGAGAATTTGATGAAGAACAACGTGAGCAAGATCGGGCATGGATCCGTCAAGCTCAAGACGATTTTGTTCCTGCGGTAAGGAATGATCGAGGTGCTGCAAATGCGTTTAGAGATGAGATTGCGATGAGGATGTGGGCTCATTATCAAGCTCACAGAAATCATCACTGATTGAAATAGCTTTACATGTAGTAAGTCAAATTTTTGATTCTCTCCAATACAACATACTGACTATATCAACCTTTTATGTTGATTTTATTTCTCACCAGACAAACAAAAAAATATCAGAAAAACATATATAACTCAATTTGTATTATTATTTCATTCAGCAAAACTGTATTTAGTATCATCGATAAGACATTCATATGGTCAACAATTTCATCAGCAAAAATGTATCTAGTATCATTGATAAAACATTCATAATAGTTGATAATTTCATCCAAAAGAAAATTTGATATAGTGTTTATTTGATTCTTGTACAAAATATAAAAAAAACTGCTCTCTTTTGAGTCTGAATTAAAATTTGCATTGTAGTAATTATTTTTGAGTAATGATACATATTTTTTTAAGATGATCCTTGATTTTTTTCCCTAGCCTCCTTGATAACATTCACCTGTGCTTTGAGCCAAACCCAGCGCATCTTTGGATCTAGACCACCAAAGACAGCCGCTTTAGCCTCCTGTGATATGACATCAATCGAAATTAATCGGTCGTCTAAGTTGGGAAATTGATCTTTGCTGGCGGGGTTGAAGAGTTCCAGAGCCTTCTGTAAGTTTGGAAGCTTGTCGGCCTTGATGCGAGCTGCTTCGGTTATGGCTGAATTGAGCTGAGCAGAGCGATCTGCCTTCTCTTGAGCCTTGATAGCCAAGTTATCGGAAGCCGAAGCAATCGCAGTTGCCAGTGTGACTGGTTTGACCTTGCGAGCCGGCATTTTCTTCTTGATGTTCGAAACAGGGGTAGATTTTGAAGTCGAAGGCTTGGTACCTTCTTTTCTGATAGTAGAGACGGTGGTAGGGTTCTTTGGAGTTGGAAGATCGAGGTTTTGTGAGTCTGTTCCATCAATAACAATGGTATAGTCAGTTAGACTTGTATATCAATTGAAAAGTAGAAAATATCGAAAAATCGAAAATATAGCAACCTGATACGATTGCTTTACCTTTGCCTTTTTCAGTTGAAACTTCTTCATCTGAATCTGGAAGATCATCGAGGTCTCTTTCGGCTTGGGTCAATCCTTGTGCATCTACTTCATCATATCTGCTTTCTTCTTTGCTTTCTTCTAAATTATCATGATCTATAATTTCAATTTCCTCTTCCTCGTTATCCTCTGCCTCAACTCGTGTACCAGAACTTGTGCCAGTACGTAAAGCCCCAGCCGGTTTAGATCCATGAAGCATTGCATCCATTTCTTTGTAGTAGTCGAATGAATTGTTTCGAAGCTTCATCGCGTCCTTGTCTTTCTAAGAAAATCAAAACACGGTCAGCCGAGACAATCTCAAGAAGAATAGCAGGCAAAACAACTGACCTTGCCTACGTTCTCCCACCATTCATTTGGCATGTCGATCTTGCCACCAACCCATCCAACTCCAGAGGTCATTTTGACTTTTTTCATTCCAGTATAAGAACTCTTGCTCTAGATCAATAGCCGAAGAAAAAATAAAAGAACTTTGATTAAAATGATGGATCGATTTTGAATTTGATATCAAGACAAACAACTGACTGTGGTGTATAAATTTTTGATTTGTTCTCTATTCACCTTGTCTTCTGGATACGCAAGAGTGTATCTCTCGTGAACATTGGTGTAAGCCACGGGTTTCCAGTTGCCACCAATCATGTTACCATCCTCTTTTTCAGTTAAAAACTCGTTGAGTATAAAACAAATCTTGGAATCGGTCCAGACTGCTCTCGCGACTTTTGGAGCGTTCGGATCTTTCTTGGCTCGAGGCATGATATGAACAAGGAGGGTCAAAAGTCGAGATCAAACAACAAACAAAAAGGAAGAAGGTGGATGTTGGAAGTGGGAGAAGAGTGATGAAAACCGTTGAGAGGTGGTTGACGTCGAGGAGCCAGAGTATGATTTTGTTGACGTCGAGGTGGGTTGAAGAGTGTCGAAATGAAATTTGACCAAGTTCGAAAAGGAGTTTTACGAGTGGAAAAACTCCCTTTTTGCGGTTTTCAAAACGTACCTTTTAAACTCCTTTGAGGACGGGGAAGGAGTTTCTTTTGGGTACCGTAATCGCTGCCAAACGACTTTTTTTGAACAGCGTTTTTTCCAAATTTCAAGGGAGTTTATTCCAATAAACTCCCTACAAAAAGCGCTACCAAACGTGCCCTAACACTTCAGTTTTGTATCCATGAAAATACAAATATTCTGGGATACTGGAAACAAATCTCCGAAAACACAGGAGAGCATTCTAACTCAAGACTAACACATATGTATGCCTTTCAAAAACCAATCGAATTGATAAATCCTGGATCCAAGTTTTAGGCTTGCTCAACCTCAGGTGGATACACCAAACCAATTTGATGTCTGATCTCATCAAGAACCTGCCAAAGATCAGAAGGCATATTAATTAAATTTAATATTTGCCAACGACAATCATTCATTTTACAAAAGAAGATAGATTACCTTCATCGTACGGACCGTTTCTCGATGCGGGACAACAGGAGATTCCAGTTTTTTAGCAAATATACATCTTGCTGCTTCATCTGCTTCCCACACTTAAACCCCCCAAAAAAGTCAAAATATAATCAGTCCGCTTTTACGGCGTGGCAATAATAATTTATTAACTTACTGTAACCAAGTCCTTCACCTTCGGTGTACCCAAGAAGGAAACCGATCGAGTTCGAATCAGTGAACACATCAACTCTGGGGTGATGAAGATTACTAACTTGGCATTGGATAAAAATATCTCGTCTCCACAGGTTTCTGAGGGTTTGGATTATATATTATGATATTTTCAGTATGTTTGATATAATCACTAACAAAAAACTCATGTGGAGCGTTAGTGGGAAACGGTATTCTAATTTGTCCAGTAGAACCATAAATAGTCACAGCTCTCTCTTCTAAAGTTGGACGAGTAATACTGGTCTCCATAATCCTGCATAAAAATTCAAGATGAAATCACCCTAAAAACCAGTTTATGATTTGGCATTGTAGGAAAAATCTTTGAATCGACGTACCCTTGGATGGTTTTACCAGAAGCCATGGGAAATTCTAGTATAGCTACAGTGGAACCGTCAACTGGTAGTGAATCTGGTTTAGCCTCTGGATGACGGTACATCACACTAGAAGCTTTGATTTTGGGAATCATTATATCTTTCGAGACGTAAGTACTTCCGCTCATATCCTGGGAGTCCTTCGCATATAATGTGGATTGGGCTAATAAAGTCTCCGCTAACCATGTCCAACAGTATGCCCTAAGAGTTGTAGCAAGTTTAAGTGTTTGTCGACTTCGCCCCAAAAAACCTCACCAAAATTCAGAAACTGACCCTAAATCGAGCAATCCGCCTCCGGCTAACTCAGGATTAAAGATCCTATCACTTGCCGGGACCGTTTTTGGGTCAGATGGGATGCCGAAATCCGCTTGCACCTTTTCGCATTCATAAAGAGATGCATGACTCCATCCTCAATACGTGGTATGTATGTTACTCCTTCTAAAGAAATGAGAACTTACCTGTAGGACATCTCCTATTTTACCAGTATCAATTATTTCTTGAATTTTCGGTATAGATGGAAAAAATCGCGTCCATACAGCTGAAAGTTTAAAGCAAGAGTGTAAGTATTTTTAGAAAAGAACACCATGATTATAAAGTAAAGGTCTTTGAAATTCAAAAACGCTAACCTTCCATGGCAAAAAGTTGTTTCTCTGTTGAGATTCGGAAAATGTCTTCAGCTTGTTCCGCATTCACCTTTTGAATTTGAAGCCAAGGTCACAATAATATTAGTTGTCCGTGAATCGTTCACAAAAGGTTAATCAGTTCACTCAACTGTCATTGGTTTTTCACAAAGGATGTTTTTACCGGCTAAAAGAGATAATTTAGAGTGTGCATGATGAAAATTGTGAGGAGAGGCTGAACCAAAGAAAAGCAAAAGAAAACAGATAAGTTTATATGTATATCTTCAACATTTTAATGAATTAAATGGGAGATACCAATATAAACGATATCTACTTCTTTATCTTGTACCAGTTCTTCATATGAACCATAGGCTCGAACATCTTGGCCTTTGAGTTGTTCAAAACTATCTATAAATCCTCGAGCTCTATCGAGTGACCTTGACCCAACTGCAACGAGCTATATGATACAACAAGTTCAGCTCAACTGCTGTTTAAGATATCTGTTCAATGAAGACCAAAATTTACCTTGTGTGAAATATCGGTAACGTTCCGAGTCGCGGGATCGGTCAACAAATCGCCTACAAACGTCCTGATAGCACACAGCATCAGTGTCGCGTTGCAGTCTCCAGGCCTGGAACATAAGATTTGATCCAATCGCAAAATGGGTCTAAGCTCTATAACATACCTTGCAATCCTACCAGGAGCCTGAAGTAATATCAGCAAATATATATCCTTAGCTACTTCACAAGTCGGTAATAACAGACACGCAAAAGGAATCCTTACAAGAACCGCCCAACGAAGTATGTTTTCACTTTTCATTTTTGATCCTTCAAAATTGTTTCGACTAACTTTGAGCTGTAAGGCTTAGAAATCCAGATATCTAGATAGGGAATTGAGTCTTTTGCCAAGGGGTAATTCTTCAGTTTGAGCAACAAATTTCCCAAGTTCGGTCCGAGGTAATGTCCGGAAACTCGCATCATGACTTGTTCGAAGATTCATATATTCCGATCTTTTGGGTCCAAGCTTAATTAAGCCCCTCTTGCGCGTTCGCCGCACCGTTAAGCTCATATTGGGCCCGACCAACCAAAGGGGTATGTATATTTTTCTTTATTTCATTGCTTGAAGTGCCTTCCGACCTAACCGCTATCAGGCACTGTGACTTGATTATCATGCGACGAGGGGCGCATCATTTGAATGGATGTTTGTTTGTATAGCTCGACTTCAAGTGAGCTCAATTTATGCCGGTTGAAAAGGAGATGTTTGTGCGGAATTCTTACTCTTTGGCTTACGCCTCATCTTTCACAGACGTCTATCGCATAAAACCGATCGGGTGGCCATGAAAATCGTGTGCCAATCCTTGTTTAAACTGTGCTATAAAGTGAGTGTATTCAGCATATGATCACGCCCAGTATGCAGTCAGACTCCACCATGCCCGTGTTTTTGCACCGGTGTGTTTTTGATGTTCTGATCTTGACTGTCATTCGGGAATCTAAGTTGTACATATCCTGCTTATTGGTTTCGTAGTGATGTGATTGCAACACTGGCCCTGGTAATAAAACTCACAATCAGAACACCCTATAATGCATCTACATTGTGGCGGTTTAAACCGCAACCTTCTCGCAGTTCACAAGATTCATTTCGAGGGGCATTTCAACTCGATTTCAACAACTGGCAACCATACCTTAAATTTACCTTGAGCGGTGACACCCTTTGGTTGAGACTGTAGCGCATTGATTAGATAATGTCAATACACTGATAGCCATTGCAAAGTTTCAAAGATGCCCACGTTGACTTAGGTCTAGGGATCAGATCCTAACAATAAGACGAAGGAATTGTAAACTAAAAAAGTGATATGATCAAGTATTACATTTTAAAGGAATCATGAGTTATGAAGGCAGTATCCAATTATGTATCAGAAGACTGCCAGAAAAAGCGCTCTGCCACATTGACAAGCGTCGTACAAAAGGAAATCACGCCAGAGTCACAAAGAGCATAAGCGATTCAACAGTCAAAGGAAACAAAGGGCATGGAATAACAAGTCTATCTCAGTTTACAAACCAATTGAAGTCACGCAAATGAGCCAGGTCGAGGGTCCCTTGACAGTCATAATCATTTTGAGGCAAAATGTAATCTTATTGTTACCATCCGATCTTCTCTTCATGTCCTGTGGCTGGTTATCCGAAAGTATTCGCGATGCTACTTTATCTGCTTGATCTTCGTAGACCCATTAGTTGGACAACATCGCCAATCCGTTCAAGCATTCTATTTTCATGATAACTATCCCAGAAGTGCTTGTATCTTCTTAATAACATATTCCCTGTATTGTTATGAGCGTTTATAATGGCCCTCATTCTGTCTGCTACAAATTTAAATTCATTCAACAAGACAAAAGATCCCAAACAGAGGATGACCTGTGGCCGCTCAGGAGTCAGAGTAATCAAACAAAAATTTGCAAGTGGTGCAGCGATGTTGAGTATAAAAGGAAATCAAAACGTTGTTGTAAGTATTTCGTCTCGCGTCAGATTTTCGAAAAAACGCCTCTATGTAGTTTGGTCTTGATCTTACTAAATCATCGTCGTACTGATGGAGTGGCCCAAAACAAGCAATCATGGAAACGTGAGTACTCGAAATGATGAAAAAGTTATAACGGACCGTACGGATAAGTCAGCAAAACTGGCGGATCGGATGAGCCATACCATAATCGGAGCCTTATGTAATCGGATCGAGGACCGCAGACATCCAAGAAGGAAAGTGGAGTCGAGTCGAGATGATTCGAGAACAAAGGATTGATTAAATTCCATCAACAACAAGTCAAGAAACCAAAAAACCATTTCCCTTTTACTAAAGATCATAATCAGGTAGCCCATCATACAAAACCAAACCAAGTCATATCAGCAGATTCACCAGGGAAATCATGTCAGAACAAAAGCCAACGCCCAAGATACGGTAAATATTCACTCATCTCACCTTTCAACCAAACACCAAAAAAGTAACTAAGCAAACCAATTTCATAGTCATGAATGGTATCAGACCGATGGCGAAGTGGTCCTCGACATCTTCATTAAAAACACCAAACCAGAGAATCTTCAAGTAGACCTTCAGCCGAAATCCTTGACAATCAATTACGCGCTTCAGGCTGGCTCAGAAGGATGTTTCGCTCTTGATCCACTCAGGCATGAGATTCAAGCCGATCAATCTTCTTGGAAGTCTCTCTCTTCTAAAATAGAGTAAGTCTTTCTATTGTGGTATAATCGAGAAGATCATTTGTACTTATTGTTTGGTATTTGGGGTGTTCTATCTTCAAAGGCTTAAGCTCAAGAAGAAGATAGCTGGAATCAAATGGGACGTGATTGAAGGTGACGGAGGAGCTGAAGTAATTCCAACAGGTCAGTCTCAAATTGTAATTCCTTGCCAACTTCAATTCCATCCTAATCAGTTGGTAATCTCCATCAGCTACCATCCAACCGGTGACTAGAACCGAAGATCCTCCAAGTGCCTATCCATCATCATCACGTCGAAAGACAAACTGGGACCAATTAGCTAAGACGGTTGATAAAGAGGAAGAAGAAAGTTCCAACTCTAAGTTGAGTGACCTGATTCTCTTTCTATTCCACCAACATCGCTGAAGGCGGTTTTTTATTTTCAAATAGGGATCCCAATGCCGGTGGTGATGTAGCTTTGAACAAACTCTTTCAAAAACTATACGGGGACGCGTCGGACGAACAAAAACGAGCAATGATGAAAAGTTATACTGAATCTAATGGTACTTCTTTAAGTACAGATTGGAATCAAGTCAAGAAATCTAAGGTTGAAACTCGGCCACCTAGTTCTGTAAGCCCCCAATCTGATCAAATCCTTTTTTCTACACTACTAGACTAAATGCTGATATGTTTTGGTTTGATTCAGATGGAAGTAAAGAGTTGGGAGAAATGATGAGTGACATCTCTTTCAAATATAAAGAGTCTCCCAATTTCTCGGCTTCTCTCAAAAACTTGACGAGTGGAAACAGCAAAAAAGTTGTACTTGTATACGTGCTTTCTCTCAATCATCATGCTCAACATATTATGCCCTCAGCATTCATTTCCGCTCTTTTTTCTGTATGGATTGTCTGAAGGTCTCCTCTTGCGTGTATACTATAAGATATGCATTCCTACATACGACATTGCCTACAGTGGATTTTATTATATAATCTCTGAAGAATATTGATCAACAAAATCAGGCTTCACTTATCTTAGAAAGTAATCATTTGTGGTAAATAATTGGATATATTAATCAAAACATTCATTATTGATCAATTGAAAACTCAACAGCTCTGTAACATCAGTGATTGCACACATTTTCTGTGATCCATCAAAGTTGGCTGTCATATCTGATGGGCAAATGTGTAGTCAACATGACAAAAAAAACTCCATATCAGGAATTCATTATTCATGGTAAGGGCTCATTCACTTGAGCAATCTCTGGTCAGAAATCACATTGTGTAAATTTTAAAATGCAAACACATACCCTGAGGGCGTGTTCACTTGAGGAAATTCTGAGCAGAAATCTAAGAATGTCTTGGAATCTATGATCAGGGATCTGAAAGTGTGCGCTTCAGCACAAAGATCACAACTACCGACAAATGCTTCTAAGCTAAAAGACTCTGACCTGAAAGCGTTTGCTTCAGCACAAAGATCACACCTACCGACAAATGCTTCTAAGCTAAAAGACTCTGACCTAAATGATGGTACAGATTATAGATGGTTAGTTAAGTTATCCAACTCGATAACTGATCTTGGAGCAAAAACTAAGAGTTTGATTTCTCTTCCCAAAGATAATGTATTCACCTGAAAGCGTGCGCTTCAGCACAAAGATCACAACTACCGACAAATGCTTCTAAGCTAAAAGACTCTGACCTATAACAACAGCACTCAGATTAGAAATGATAAAGATGAGATTAATGATTCTGAAACAATTAATACCTAAATGATGGTACAGATTATAGATGGTTAGTTAAGTTATCCAACTCAATAACTGATCTTTGGAGCAAAAACTAAGAGTTTGATCTGTTTGAAAGAGGAAAAATATAAATATGAAATGGAAACAATTGTATGATTAACTAAACTTATAATGTGATGAAAAGATAAAATATCACTTACTTCTCTTCCCAAAGATGGGAAAGAGAAGTAGATTGGATAGAGCGACAAGTCTTATAAGGAATTGTTCATCAGGGCAATTAATGATGTCATTCTTAATTTTTGTTTATACTAACATATGTATTGTACCTTTTACTACTTCTTACTCGTATCTCCTAGTAGCGCTTTTGTAACTTCTTGTTCCCGTTGATTGAACATTTCAAAAAATCACATTCTGAGAATTTTTTAATCCAAAAAAGAAACATGCTCCACCAAATAGACACTTGAAATTTTGCAGAATGTGATTTCTTCCCAGAAATCGCTTAAGTGAACGTGCCCTGAATCATATCTTTTATAAACAAAATTAAACCCCTGTGATTTCAAATCAGGTTTGGCTACACAATGGTGGAGGTCTTTCAAAACACTGGTGTGTGAAGCAAGTTCATCTCCAAGATATTTAATTAAAGAAGATTGCTTGGCAGCATAGACATATTCCGAACCTGGTGGAGGAGCTGAGATCCAAACAGTGAGACAACAGAAACCGAGGTTAGTATTGAAACAGATCAGCCCATCATCCTGGAAAAAATCAATAAACACAAACATTTGAGTTCTTTTTTTGGAATAATTCCACAGGTGAAGGATAAATGACAAAGCAAAATCATCTAGCATGACAAGAATGATGTGGTTGTTTTATTTGAAGTGTTCCATATTTGTAATTTCAACAAGCTCAACATATAAACAAGTTGAATGCATATCAGTAAATTCTTTGCTGGAGATTTGCCCTGTTTGGGTTCAAAGATCCAATAAGAGTCTGTCTTATATAGTTGCTATATGATAACATTGGGACCATACATTGTCTTCACCAATGCCGCCCTTTGTGCCTTCAGTTATGAAATACAGATATGTCTTCTGTCAATTTTCAGTGAACTTGCCAGAATGTTTGTCAGAACAAGAGAAGCCCAAATTTTGGCAGTATCTGGACATCTCATGTTCTGACACCTGGTTAAACTTTGGAACTCTGTTGCTTTGTATACAAGACTTGGAGGGATTTGGTGTCTCAATGCTCCAGACATTGGTCCTCCAAATCCCTGAAATCCCTGACTTTCCTTGTCACACCACGGGAATCAAATAGTTCAAACCCGGATTGAACCGAGTTTTGGTGTCCGGGTTTGAAATTCCTCGAATCGTGAAATTCGTTGCGCACTCGTTTGCAATACACTACGGTCCAATCAGGATCTCCGTTGGATGTTGCAAGACACGGCATCCAACGGAGATCCCCCCGATCTTGGTTGATTATCCTCACAGAGCAGGTCGCGCGGATGAGAGCAAGGACATTGGTGCGATATCCTTGCTTTAGGTTCCGCGCGACGGTGAGAAAGCTGATTGAATGGCAGAAATGCATTCAATACGTTCTGGGTGGGTGAGGAACCACAGCCCAGTACGACCTCTGGTAGCCCAGTGCACACCATATGGCATTCTTGATTTGAAGCAAATGGTCATTTGACCAGTGGCGATTCTGGTGAATTACACATGTAGTGACCGAGCGAGAGTTTAAGAGTTCTTTTGGGATCATCAGAAGCGTAAACATCAAAAAAAAACCATAACAAAAAAGACTCAAGACTTCTATGAAAGAGACTAGGGTCATTTGCCCAGTGGTTGATTGCGTAGTGAGCAAGCATCAGTTCGTGATGGTTGTTGATGGGATCATGAAAAATGAAAGTGAGAACACTTGAAACAAAAGAAAACAAAGAAAATTAACAAAAAGAAAACAGTTGAGACTCATATAAAAGACATCTGAATCTAAATGAATGTATATGAAAAGAAAATTAACAAAAAGGAAAGAATTGAGACTTGTATAAAAGACATCTGCTCCTAAATGAATGTATATGAAGGTATATGAATGTATATGAATGTGAGATTGGTTCCTTTTTATTGGAATCGAGTGAAGAATATTTTTATAAAGTGTTTCTATTGTTGATGATTTTCCTCTACATCATCATCGTCCTCTAAATCTTCTTCTTCCTCTAAATCTTCTTCTTCTTCTTCTACTAAATTGTCTCTTGTCACTACTGGTTGTTGATCTTTCACATCGGGGAGCGTGTACGTCATATGTCGAGGTAGTTGGAGTTTGCGCCCTGTCTGCTCTTCGATGGTAGATAAACTGCGCAACCCGTCGAATTCTTTATCAAGATCCATGAGGATTTCATAAAACCTACAAAGGAGTTGATTGAGATCGCATCAGCTCATGTGTACTGTGCACTGGGACAGGAGCAAGTCACTTACCGAGCACACCCTTCTTTGGGGTCTTTTGACAACGCCACCAACTGTCTATCACCCCAAACCCACATCGACTTTGGCCGATGTTGTTTTTGGCCATCGATCGCGATGGTGGGGGTGCGGAGATACTGGATACCAATTATACGCTTGATGAGAAAAATGAAATGTCAGAAAATGTAAAAGGAAAGGTTCAAACTGACTTACAATCAACGCATAACAAAGTTTGTCCTCTAATGAAGTTTTGGCATAGATCTGATCGTCTGTGCGATAATCGACGTCAGGGTTTCGGCTACGGACAATCTAATGGCTTTTGAGGTAAGTTGACTGAAACATTACAGTTGCATGGAATGATAACATACCATGCTGATTAGCCCCTTGAGACTCGGGACTGCGCCAGATCGAGTCCTATTCTTCATCAATAGGTTGGTGAGGATCTGATGGATGATGCTTCATTAGCATGATGCAATTGAGATTGTATTTGGCCTTGGCTGACCTTCTCCCAAAACACACTGTGTTGATAGGTGGCTATCTTTTTGATGACCTTGAGAGTAAGCTGGATGGACTTGACATTGCCTTTGCAGAAGTCCAGAGGGAGGTGAGCAAGGTTGAATTCGTCGTTTGCATGTTTACAAAGGTAGTTCTTGGGAGAATAGACAGAACGCTGTCAGTGTCAAATCACACAAGATTCAGTTAATTGGGACTTACCATCACCCGCTTCTCAAGTGAGAACTCGACTGGCTGAGCTTTTTTAGTTAAATTACCGTTATATGATTCGGTCTTTGATTGACCGATGGATTTCTGGATGCGGGTTCTTATCATGTTCTGTCGATGTAAGCAGAGAGGCGGAGAAAGCCGGAGATCAAGTGAGTTTACATAGTATGTGTGATATATGAACTCCTAACTGGGTACTTACTCGTAGTTTTTCACTATCCTTCCACTCATCATGAACAATTGTGACAGGCATCGTAGTCGTCTGGCTCCCAGTAGAAGGACCAGATTGTACAAGGGCCTTTAGATCACGGACATGACCTATCATCTCAGCTACCATACATACCACGGCAAGGTCTCGTCTACGTGCTTCGGGTTCCTAAGGTTTTGACAGATAAGTCACACAAAGCTTTGCTCGTTGATGATGAAGGAAAAAACTTGCCTCAAATACATGTTGCACGCGGGTAATATCTTCTTTTTGGATAGCGAACTGGGACGTAATTTGTTGAAACATAGCAAAGTCAGTTGCATTGAGCATCCCAGGAGTTTTGGAGGCAGTACTAGGGGTGTTCTGCCTGCTACGTTGGTTGAACGAGTCCTCTAGCGGAAGATCTTCAGATGATGCGTCATCGTCATCTTTAGCAAAGGGATCCTCCGAGTGGTCGTCAGGAAATTCATAGTTGTTTTGTTTGCCTTCATTCCCATCATCATCCTCACCCTTGCTGTTGTAATTTAAATTGGAGTCTTTGTCAGTTAGAAGCGTATGGCGTGCTCGTTTAGATGAGCTTGAATTGTGCTGATAGTTTTGGAGAAGGTTGTAGCTAGTTGATGAGGGTGGAAGTGATAGATTTTCTTTACGGCGATTAGCATACTTTGACTTTGGTCATGGTTGGGGCTTGGAAAAAGATGGACAGAGCTTTTTCTTCTGGACCACCTCAGAGCTTGTGGCATTAAGATGTGGGGGAGATGGGTTAGGGTGTGATTGTTGGTATAGCAAGAGATTGTGATGTGAAGGTGAAACTGTAAGATTTAAAGGTGGAGGATCACCGTGAAACAAGTGATTGGGGTTGGGGGTGTGTTGAGGTTGCCCAATTGGTACAGGATACAGATTTGGTGGTGCTGTGGTGGGAGTGGTTTCGTACCGTTGATGAACTGCTGGATGGTAGGGGGTGTCTGGAGGAAAGTAATGATGTTGAGCAGGCATGGTGTCATAAAGTCGATTGACTGCTTGATGGTAGGGTGTGACTTGAGGATGGCCCGCTGGTACATGATAGTGAAAAGGTGGAAATGTGGTTTGATGAGGGTTTGATTGGCCTGATGTTGGATTCATTTTGGCAAGAATGAAACAAGACTGAAAAAACAAGAATAAAACGACGCCAAGAAATGTGAAGGGATTGGTGATTTGATCTTGATCAAGTCCAGACAGCGCAGAGGAGAAATTCAGAGGAGGGCAAGGCAATTTCAAGTGAGCAAGCTCCACGTTTGTGGAACTTGACCCGGCCCAAATTGGGGTTCTGTGCCGGGGTTTTGGACTTTTTTCAAATTTAACAAAGATTTTGACAAGTCCAATAAAGACAGTCAACATGCTTTTAAAGAATCATCTTTCATTCATCATCATTTTGTTGAACAAAAAGGAAAGATGATAACAATACAAATGATATGATATTCCTAATTGAAACAATCTGGAAACAGATTCACAATCAAACAGAACAATAAAGGCCTGAAATGTCCAAGAAGATAACATTTTTTATTAAAAATGAATGATACAAATGGTAAAGATGTGGATTTAACCAAGACAACTGTCAACAGAATATTTAAAGTCTGATAAAAGCATTATCAGATCAAGGACATACCAAAATATGGATCATCTCCCAAAGAAATATGTGGTTTACATTCAAATTATTGAATATTGTTATTTCCTTGCCCTCCCTTTGCCCTTGTGGTTTGCCTTGGTCCCTTGTTGTTTTTCTACGGCTGCCTTGACTTCTTTGGCCAACTTGGTCTGCTTTTTTTATCTGCCCACTGGTGTATGCCCATAGTGATGGCATCTATCCTTTCTGAAGGTGTATATGGGATGATCTGTATCAGGCCTAACTCTCTGTAAAGAGATGCTGAAATCAGTGAAGCAGTATTTAGGATGTAATAAGGGTTTTGTTCATGAACCCAAACTGGCTCAAGATTTTTGAGTGGGCGTGGTTCATTAGGATACTTGACTGATGGCTTGATCTCGCATCTTGAGTCATAGCAGTTGTGCTGTACATTGAGCATGCATATAATTTCCTGAGTTGAAAAGAATGACGAGTCAAATATCAATATTGCTGGCTTGAGTGATTCAATGGCTTACCCATGGATAGGCACACACTTTTTGGCCAGTAAGTATTACAGCCCTCATACAATAGAATGGGTGGTGATTGGATAACCTAGCCATTTCTAGCTCTAGCACAACACTTTCATCTAATCTTGAGTCTGGAGTCCTCCAAATACCCTTCACCAAGCCTACTTGTTTATCATATGTATCAGGAGATTGAGGAATAGAGACCTTGAGTAATATAAAAGACCCTTCTTTTGCAGTTTGTTGATTTGGTAATTTGGCACTTCTGGCAGGTGTCCAAGGTAATCTATCATCACAGATTTTGAAAGATGCACGTGTGGAGACAATTCTTGGAGGAACTGGTTGACAATAAGGGACCTCTTGGTAATTGCAACGAAAGACATCCTTGCTGTAACCAAGCGCTTCAGAGATAGACTCATCATTCACCAGGATCTCTACGACCCTGTCTCCAGGTTTGGTCCAAAAGCCATTGGTTGGATGTTTTATCAACCCACCTGAAGAAAGATGCCAAAGTACATTGAAGTTGTTTGCGGAAATAGCAATATCTCTTCCTGGATTTTGTCGATTCGAATGAATTGAAAACTTCCGAACAACACCATTCATTCTTTCAAAATATTCAGTTGCAAAAAGTGATGGGGGCCCAAATTGCCTGATGGACATAGTAAAGTGTTTCATCATATGAAACTTGGGTTTGTTGAACCATTGGGCTGAGAGGCGCACAACTCCAACTAGGAAACGGTCAACCAGGTGGTCTAATTCATTACAAAATGAGTCCAGGTCTCTGATTTCGGGCTGAAAAACCATTGATGCAACATGACCCAAGTCAAGCCATACTTGCCTATACAATGGAGACAGGTATTCACCCAGAACAAATGTTGCTGCTTGCAAGACAATTTTGAACTCTTTTCCATTTAAACTTTTTGCATGTGTAACCATGCAATCGGGTTGTATTGCTTCCCGTCCTAAAGCTGATGAATTAAAACTCTTCCACTTGCGCTTCAAATCTTCTTTCTGAATTTCTGATAGGCGGCTTACACAATCTCTATATAAATACTTTGTTACCCCCAAAAGGATAACATGCAAGGCCTCCACAGGTGTGTCCATATGTCCATCAAATCCATTTAAGCGTAGAAAGGGATTGAATAACCTATCCTTGTATCTATTTTCATAATATTCAGCCATTTGAATTGGCTTGTTGGTATTTGGGTATTCACGATGGCATTTGCGAACATCATCAATGAAATTCTGATTTGTGTGATCCTTAATTCCCCAAAGTTTTGCCAGATTTTCCACCTTTTGAATTGAATTTGGAAACCTTGATTCCTGCCACAGTACTCGGCTTTTATTGGCTGTATCACTCCATGATCTTGGTTCAAAATGCTTTGGGTTTCCTTCTTGATCCAGCCCCATAAAATCTTCCACATACTGATGACTACATTTTGCATTCATGCTTGGAGCCGACAAGGTACATATCCTGCAAGGAGCCAATGATGAGGCTGGTTGACGTGTATTTGACACCTCAGCATGCATAGGCGAGTCGCCAAGAATACAAAGCGGAATTGCCATAATCGATACTTCCTCTTGTGTTTCAGAATCATAGGCAACACAGCCTTCAGAGCTCAGGACACTTTGAACAGAGAAGAATGTCAGTACTGAGAACCAGTGTGAAAACAGAAAAAAAACCCACTTCAGCTGATCCACCAGGTCATCAGCCAATTCTAATGCTGTACCCTCATTGGTAGTAGCCAAGAACAAAGTATTGAAGTCCAGATGAACTAATCTGGCAGGAAGGCCCGAAAGATTGAAATAAAAGGACATGTGTTTATTCCATCTTTTGCTGATGTTTCCTGAAGTATAATCACAATATAGAGTAAGTGGCATGTGGCGGATGACACGGCCATTTGCCCTCTTTCTCCAGGGATTTGGTGAAGGTATTGCTTCCAGTAAGTCTGAAGAAGAAGATTTTTGAAATATTGATCCCCTACAACGGTTGATAAGACTTCCACCTGCCTTGCTTATCTTTACCTTTGGGAAAGGCAGCAATAGTTCATCACAATTGATTGAATCCTGAATTCCAAATTCAGGCTCTTCTGGGATCAAAACTTGATATGTAGAGTCACCCAATATGTTAATTTCTGCCTTCAAAATTTTTGCATGAAGCACACCATCCAATTGGTAGAAATGTGATGGTACTACCAGACTTCCATCCTTAAGCTGTGCTGGCTCATAGATATAAACAACTCCAGCTGGTGTTTTTGCCATTGGGGCCCTAAATTCCCTTGTAAGACCATGAAGCCATTTCCCACAATGTTTAAAGTCCTTTACAAGCCCGTCAGAGCGGACCTCAGGATAACACTGGAGATGTTTGGCCACAATTGGGTTGGCCAAGTTCTGAATAGTAGATGACCAGAAATATCAATGTGTGTTATGTTATATGTATTATAGGTAGACACCTCAACTGCAAACATGAGTTAAAATAAACTCACCAATCTCAGCTGCTCTTCAATAACTAAGGTGTGGCAGGTTTTACCCAGGGGTGATTCAAACTCTTTAACACTTATGCCAACCATTGACCTAAGCACCTTTTGCAGGGAAGACATTGTATTCCAGCATGGAAGATTGGTTTGCATCACTCTTGATGCTAGCTTGAAGCCATCATATGATTTTCTGGAAGTCTGGGTACGTGTGCTGCCCAAAGCAATCAGTCCTGCTACATTCTTTTGAATCCAGAAAAAAGAGATACATGTATCTTTAGTATATGTGTATTAAAGAGGGAAAACTGACCAAATGAGTCATTCATTACCTCATCCCTTCCCACAGGAAACCATGGGTCCACATGCTTTGTCATGTTTACAACTTCTGCCTGTATTTGTAAGAAGTTCTCATCAAGTTCATCCATCTCAGAATCATCATCTAATGATGCTGCTCCCACAGTTGAATTTGAGTTTGACAAATCAGACATTGTACCAGAATATTCTGAATTTGAGTAATTGGAAGCTTCCAAATTAAATGGAGAGGATTGTGCGTGAAACACATTTTCTTGATCCAGATCTGTATCCATGTCACTGGAATACTCATAACCCTCCAACTCATGATGACCTGTTTGAACAGAGGGATTGTCAGTGACAGGATGATTTGAAACCTGTGTTTGCATTCCCCTTTGGGAGTTGAGGTGTGTCATCTTGTTTCTGATGTGCTGAGTCACCAGATAACAATGGTTTTCAAGCTGCATGTGGGCCTCATAGTCCGTTGTGGGTCTTCCTGCACAAAGCAAGCAGGTATATTGCTTCTCTCAGTTGGCCAGTTCTTCACATTCGAAGACTACACAAGATATTGATACGTCAGTCTAAATGCAAGATGAGACAGGAACAACTCACATTCTGCAACCCGGTACTCACATTCTGCGACCCGGTAGGTTTTGACTGAGTTAGACATTGAAGCTATTTGATCACAGGTCAGATGATGATCGTAAAATTGTTAGAAGTAGAATGAAGTGATGTTTGAATGAACTGTTGTAACAAGCGGTTTATTATATTTTTGCTGATAGTGAGAAAAATGTGGCAGTCTGGCACAGAGGTCAATTGAGCGTAAAATTCTAGGAGAGGCAACAGCAATCAATCAATGAAATGTCAAAGTCTGGGCTAGGTATTTTTTTTCTGTAGAATGCTGAGATTGCAGAAGTTGAAAGTAAAAGTCAAGCTAAAGGTACACAGAAAATATGTGGAAGAGAGGCTTTTTATGCTCTCAGAAGGGATTAATTTGAATGAAACAGCTACAATGCAATTGGTTGCATTGTAGTCTACGTGATGGACGCCTGCGGACTGAAAGCAGTCACTGGGCTCCATCACACAGGGCACAACGAAGCGGGTCAACGCATTGGTCTCGATGAGACCGATCGATGAGACCAATGCCACTCACATGGCATCTGAACTGCTTTGGCCACCGACCTCGGCTTGTGTCAGAGGCCTGCCAAAGCGTGAGCAAGCTGTTGGACATGTTCCACGCTTGGCTCATACGTGTCACATTGGTTGACAGCCGGGCCCAAAAGACATCGCGAGGATACTGTCGTTCTCGAAAAGCTTGTCCGAGTTTTCACGCAAAACTTGAGCAATTTGGCGGGAAAACTTGGACAAGCTTTTCGAGAACAACAGTATCTTGCGGTCACCCGCGCGATGTCCTTGGGGAGGATGAACAACGGACATCCTGAGCTGTCAACCGTTGACCCGTAGTGTAGGTTTGCCGGTTTCCCTTGAGCGGTACTCTGTTGGCCCCGCGTGTGTATGTACCGCTTCATCATACAACAACAACCCTGATTCCAACCATTCAACCATCTTTCCTTTGTCATGCATCCTCAGTCTTGAATTTTATTCTTGATCCTCTGTACAATTGATGAATCCTTGGTGACTGATGCTGAAGGGTGTTGCCGTTGTATGATGTAGCTGTACATATACAGACCGAGCAGAGTACCGCTCAAGGGAATTTGGCAAACGTATTGCAAACGAGTCGTGAACAAATTCCATGATTCGAGGAAATTACGAACCCGGACACCAAAACTCGGTTCAATCCGGGTTTGAACTATTTATAAAATTCCTGCGGTGTCAGAAGCATGTGGTAGTGCCATTGGATTCCAAGCATTTCTTTGTCAGAACTTCCGAAGCCTTTTTGCAAAAAAAGCTCCAAAAAAAGAACCTGAGCATCTTCCTCAGAAATATCTGAAATCTGGGAGGTCAAAACCTGACTTCATTTTTTTGGATGGGCTAATAGGAGCATTTTAGGTTCCTATGCACCTACATATGCCATTGCCTACAGTGAATTTTAAGAACATTTGGATCAATGTGATCAAGCTAAACTTATCTGAGCAAGTGATCAATCTTTAAGCCCATATATGTGGAAACTAATTTGATATATCAATTGGGATAGTTATTATTGATGGATTCATATCAATGCAAATCAAAGCCCTTTGAGCGACAGAGTAATGTTTAGGTGTATCAAACTGCTCAAAGTTGAGTACTTCTACAGCTCTTCCCATAACTGACTTGCTGTCTGCAAAGAAACTTTATCATGTGGGTTGGAATCATCATGAGTCCCAAACTCTCATGTCAATCAGTGTTAGCTCAGATACCTTGCATACCATAACCACCCTGCGGCCCTAGTTGCTATTTTCCAGACAATCAAAAGTAACTTTACACTGCTTTTGCCAACTTAACTAAGTCCCTCGGCGAGCTGGTACGGCTTGGTCCACATCAACAAGGGACTTAGTTAAGTCTACTAGTTTTTTGCTAATGTGTTCTGAGTGGATCACAGCCGATATGATCCCAATGAGGACTTGTATTCTTGCATGGGTACACCATGAGCAACTTTGGGGTACCCATAAAGGCTCTTTGGAAGGCGCCCTGAGAAGGATATACCAACATACATATGGTTGAATTGGTTGCTAGACCCAGAGTGGCAATGAAAATTAGATTTACGATTCATTTGATCTGGTTTACTTACAAGGTAGTTGATGTTTAAGCAAGGACACCAACGACCGAAACTATCAACTCACACAACCTTTCACATGAGCTAAAGTCTTTACGCAGTTATGTAAGGAGGACCAAGTTTCTTGCGAAAGAACCCAGTAACAACTTCCACAACTACTAGAAGAACTCCGCCACCTGGAGCAAGACGTAAGACCTACATGGACCAAAGTGATCAATGGTTGATAATCAATTCCACAGTAAGATAACCAATGTTCTGTGACTTACCTTTGGAATGAATCCTTTATAGAGTGCAGCAAGACCTTCTTCACGAGCAATCATGGCGATAGCTGGGTAGGTCCAACCGTACTTCGGAGTTTGTCCAGGTAGAACAGATGTATTTTGAATTCGAGATTTAACTACATCGAATGGTGTATTAAGCATCGTTCCAATACAACCTCCAATAGATCCTGAAATGAAGTTATTCATGATTTCACGACTTTTTGACTACCAAATTACATCCGCGTACGTCATAAGCTTGAACTTTTACATCAGCAGAAGACATGTTGACATACGTCTGGCTTAGGCATCATGGCTTTGATCTTGAAGATTGAAGCTATTGAGAGGTTGAGATTAGTAGAGGTTTGAAGACTATGATGTAATCATCAATTGGTTTCCAAAGGATCATACATACCAAAGTAACCACCGTTCCACCATCTTCATCGCAAAACAGAAGTCAGATCAAAAGGTGACAGGAGCCATCATCACGAGTCAAAAGTCGTTAATGTTAATAAAAAGATGCCTTCAACATGGCCAAGCCAATCTGATAAATGATGTATGGAAAACAAACACGTGTCTAAGCAAAATGGATCATCAGCTTGAAAATCATTTTTGATCAAGAGGTAAATGTCTACAACATAAAAGCAAACTTACCGCCAGAACGTTGACTCAAGTCCTCCGTAGAGTCCGAAGATTCCGTGTGTTTTGACAATCCTCATGACCACATCTAAGGGACCTTTGTAAGTCGAGTTCTGAGGACAGAATCGCGTGCGGATTTCCAGTAGAAGCCATATCTTAGATCATGAAGCCATTCTGTACTTGGGAATCAGGACATACCCGATCTTGTAGCCTGATCTATGATATTAGAGGAAACAAGGCTTATGTGAGTATCTTGGTATGCTTTCAAATTACATTCTTTATATTTACCTTTACCAATTCGAATGGGACTACCACAACACTTTCAGTTGCACCAGCACTCAAACCGGTCAAAAGTGATAAGTTCTGTGTCATCTTATCCGTCCCTAACAGATTTCGATATGTAGATCCCTAAGAACAGACACAATTTCAATGCTATGAGGATGGGTGATTGATATCAAGATGTTTGGTTTGACTAGGTCATGGTTACTCACCCAAAAATCATTTGCAGCAAATTTTACAGCTCTCTTGGGGGCTTCGAGCATCAAGGGAGGTACCAGACCGCGATACAAGCGACCGAACCTGTTGATAGATACGTTAGAGTCCTTCAGAGTCGAATTAGATTGTATACAATGAGATTGGTATACCCTTCAGTTTTGATAATTTTCTGCATCGAATTAATCCAAGAGACATCAGTTTTGAAGTTAAGTGGTACAATCAAATCCAACGAGCTGATCATACTTGAAAACAGTCTATCATCCCATTATAGCTATCTTGACCAGGGACAGTCACCTTTCCTTGCAGCTGAATCCGAGTTTTAACCTGTGATAAGTAGGTTATAAAAAGCAAGTAATTACATCAATTGAAATACTTCATAATGTTTGTTTCTGATCCTACATATCATTCAGAATCACTTACGACATCTACAAATTATTCCATGATCGAATGAACAAGATTAGATCAATGATTTGAGGCAAATTCAACGAGAACCTGTTGATGATTACCTAATGGATACAGACACAGCAGCTCCGTGACTCCAGCGATCGCGCCTGTTTTCCATCATCCATCAAAGTTGGTCGTCATATTCAATGTTCGAATGTGTAGTCAAGCGATGCATAAAGTGCGATAAGTCAAGAAAGAGCGTGGGTTTCAGCTTCCTTCTTTTTCCTGAGGTTTCCAATTTCGAGTTGTGTATTCACTTACCAGCCGAAAAAGTATAAATAAATGGTAAAGCTGTTATTGAATCAAATCAGATAAATCAAAGATCAGTGGTGATTCCTCCTAGATAATAAAAAACATCAATCAAAGTTTCAATCTCACGTTTAGGTGAACTTGATGAAGACATCTTGAAGTGTTTTATTTGAAAGTTATAATCCTTGATATCTGTAGAACTTTCTTAAATTTTCAACTTCATTGAGTTTGTTATTCGATTAGTTGTTCGACCTTGACCCAGAGTACTGCTTCGATTGACCGGTTTTCTTACTTACTCCAGATTACGTCAGTGTTTGGGGTCTTGTCTGATTAGGCAATGAGGCCATTTATTTTCGGACTCCTAATTTTATGGTTTTACACTGTGCTGACAGTCTGAGTCAGCGTGTGTCAGCTGGTGCTGAGAGTCCGGGGCCTCCCGAGGGCCGGGATCTCGGGATCTCCGTCCAGTTCCGGCTCTCCCACCCGGCCCCTGGGAGTCGGCACGACTTAAAAGACCTTGAATAGCACAGCTTATGGTCCTACCTGATGATATAACCGATACCCAAAAAATCTATCGGTTTTCACGGAGTATCGGTTTTGTCAGAGCCAACTTCACTGAAAATTTAAAAAAAAATGCCCGGAAATTATCGGTTTTGCCAAGATTATCGGTTTTGACAGCTATCGGTTATATCAGAGTCGACTGTACTCCTCCAGGCGGTTCCTTGAGCATTTCAAGTGACCGTCGCACCGACTCTGAATGCGCATAGAATGCCAGAAGATATACAACACCAGCTGAAAGCATAAGCCGGCCAATTTTGATGCTGTGGTTTGAATGGGTGATTTGACCATTAATTTTAGATGAAGAAGGAAATATAAGCAATGTTTCTATTGAATCTGATGTGCGATTAATGTCGGGTCACGGTGGCACAGGATGGAGAATTTTAAGGGGAAAAGGCTGGAAAAGGGAGTCTAGATTCGGAGTTGCCTCAGCCAGGCTTTATGAAATTGCGGTTGTTCATCGCCATCACTCTCATACACAATTGCTCCATTCAAAAAGTCGATTTCAGGTTACGATGGTCTGTCAGGGAAGACAAGTGTGAGACAGACTAAGATAAGCCAAGATGAAGCTAGGGTGGACGAGTGCTTTTACAACAAAGCTTGCCAAGACTTCCAAGCCAAATTGCTCTACTGCGCGGGAAAACTTGAACAAGCTTTTTGAAAATGACAGTATTCCATGTGTTAGTGGCCTCCGATCACTTGGCATTCTTTTTGTGACATCAAGTTTTAAAACTTTAGCTCGAAAACTTTGTAATATATAATCATTGATTATCTTGACTTGCTGGTAAACATAGCCTCAAAGATTGTTGGATTTTTTGTGCTCGATTATGATATCTGTAAAGCAAGGCTGAGAAGTAAACCCGGGTGAGGTATCAAGCTGTCTTGAGGTCTTTTAAGTGGGCGGTTGACTCCAGGTGCATGGGTTATGCTAAACCTTCCATTACTCAACATTTTCCCATGGTCATATAGTAAAAATATGTGCATACTTCCCGCATATGTGCATCACTTATCTCGAGAATATCTCATTGCTTTGAGTTTTAGAGCTCCAGATTGACGATTATCAATTGATGATTATTGTTTTTAGATCATTATGTACCATCTCCAAAACTTTCCAAAATCCTGGAAGTTCAATGACAAAACTAGATAAATGCGTCCAAAGACCCTCCGAAGCATTAAATTTATCATTGCTAGTAAAATTTGAAATTGGTTCGCTATAGACCACTTTGCTATAATCCGCAAGGAAATTAACTACAAGCTGAAATCAAAAAAGAATCATTTGGGGGGTTGATCCTTCATGTTAGGGCCGGAGGGATAGGGAGAGAGGGAGAGAGGCCAAGAACAAGAGAAGATGCATAAATCAAAGTGTCAAGCATGCTAATCATAACAATAATAATATTAGAGGTAAGTAAACATCCAATATAGATACAGAAAGACCAATCATATAAGAGGAATAGAGATACTTTTGACGTTTCTTTAATTCTACATCTATTGAAATTTTACAAAAAAAATACTCCAAATTAAAAAAGATACATCCTCTCCTTTGCGATACAATGCCATGATTAAGTCAAAATGATTATAACTTAGCTTTGAACCTACGCATATCAACCTGTTCACCAATTTCACCTAATAAATGTCTACGAATATAAGGATTTAAAAATCGACCATTTGGATCTAATTCTTTTCTTAATTTTAAAAAATCTGATAATTTTGGATACGTTTTTTGTAAGTCTAAAATTGAAAATTGATGTGATTTCGCCCAATGTGGTCTACCATCATGATTTGATAAAATATTTTCAAACGTTTTGAAGATTTCTTTATACGATACTGGGATTCCGAATGGTCTTTTATGAAAAAGAAGGGAGAAAAGGAATGTGAGTTGAGTGTAATTTTTCATTGAGTATTATAAGTGAGAATAGAAAAGGAGCAGCGTATTTTTGTAGAAGTTGTAGACGCCTTATAACTTGGATTCACTTACTTGTATTGAACTATACCAATATAAGTAGATAAACGACCATAGGATGGAGATAACCAAATCTCATCGGCAGCCACGGGTCTGATTTCTACTGGGAAATGAAGCCGTTTCTTGCCGTCTTTTGAGATTTCAGTTTTCATCCATACATTCAATTCTTTGAGTACGTTTGATGTCTTTTCATATGGCACGGCTCCTTCGTATGTATATTGAGATGGACCGCAATCAAAATTAAAGACTGAAACACTATCAGCTACTCGTTGTGTTACTAAATCGGGATGCGAATCTTGATGATTTGTACCAGGATCTTCTGATGAGCTTGGTTGGTGGATGAAGTGATAAGACAGTGCTGCATGGTAATGTAGCAGACCAGGAATACTTCGTCCAATTAGAAGGTTCAAAGGATGGACCCAATGATTGTATCCATACATCATTGTTGATTTTGTGACACTTTGGGTTGGAGTTGGATCCTAAGAGAATGCAAAAACTTTCACAAAATCAGTCATATTTTTTCTAACTTTGAAATTGAAGAAAATGAATACCTTTTTTGTTCTGTTTAATCTTTCAATTCTCACTTTATCAAGATGAGGAAACCAATAAATTCTAACATGTTCAGCACTCTTACCAATCACATCATATCGATCAACAAATTCATCAAAGCCTAACTCAGTGACAATCTCTTCTAGGTTAAAACTGGGTTCACATTGAAATTTAACTCTAGTAATAATTCCAGTAGTACCCAAACCACAAAGGGTAGCTCTAAAGATATCTTGATTTTCTTCATTTGAAACTGTGATTTGATTTGTATTAGCCAGGATCGATGAAAGTGAAAGAACAAATGTTGATAGGTTTCCGAATCGAGCTCCAGATCCATGAGTAGCTGTTGAGATCAGTCCTCCGATTGATTGATCTGATATAGATCCTAGATTTCCGAGTGCTAAACCATGAGATTTAGCAATTTGATGAAAATCTTTCAGTCGTGTTCCTGCAAAAACTTCGATTGTCATCTTTTCCTTATCGACCTGTTTCAAAATCCAATTTGATCAGATGTGAATCCATCAGAGAAGAGAGAATATGTATACTTCAAACTTACATGGATTTCACCTTTCAATTCATCCAAATTAATCATATAGTCTTCGGAACATGCTAAATCACTTGGACTATGGCCAGCACCAAAACATCTGATTTCTCTTTTTTCTCGATTAGATAATTCAATAATCATTTTGATTTGATCTTCATTTATAGGTCTCATGATTGATCTTGGTTTGCATTTTATATTTCCTGCCCAATTTTGAAAAGTTTCTTGATAACGTATCGGTTTTGTTTTTTTGTTTAAATATTCTTTTGTTAGATCACTCAAGTTTAATGTTGTAGCCTCGAGATTTGATTGTGTCATTTTTAGGATTGGAGTGCTTGCTTTTTTCGAATTCCTTGGCTCTACTCCCTTATTGTTGGTTTGAGTCAAGTTTTTCAATGATTGGTAAAGCAGATGATGAACGATGATGGGATTTAGATGCACTTCAAGGTTTCCACCTGCGAAACATCGAGTGCCCTGAAATGGTCATCTACCATAATCAATCGCTTTGAAAATTTACCCAAACACCCACTGTTCTTGACCCAACCACCCACATCTCATCATCTTTCCCCATCATCATATGGCAAACTCCACCCGCCGTAGCGACGTGTTGGCCTACTTGAAAGGTTTTTTGGCACTTCAGGTTGCCTCACTGGAAAACCACAACAACCAATCATGCACAAAGCATAGTGACTTCAGGTCGATCATGGCGGCCGTTATCATTTCAGATCAGCTTGATTCCCATGAAGATAACTTTGGAAATGAGCTCCTAAGACTCGCACCTCAACTGTTCATATCAAGTATGGCGGATTCAGAATCTTTACGTACCTCTTGCAAGCGTTAAGCTTAACTAAGCCCCTCTCGCGCGGCTGCCTCCGCGCCCCTCGAAGAGGGGCTTACAACGGACTCGTACTTTTTGGCAGGAGAGCTCCAAGAATTAAGGTGCCTTAAGTAGTTTTTTGGACTTCTCCTCGAGCCCTCACCGTAGAATTTCTCAAGTTTCTCGTATGTTGTTCTTCACACTTTTGTACATGATCTGGTACCTCATAGTTTGTCTCACCTTGAGGGGAAGTGTCATAAATATGCGATGAAGATTTGGTAATATGTGTGCTTAAGTGCTTTCAAATTTCGTATCCAAGGCATATGAAGAAGGCTTAGGCCATTACAAGAGGACGTAAGGCCTTGTAAGGCCCATTCTTGACACAGCTCTCAAAGC